TAAAACCCCAAAGTCCTTCTGACAGAAATTCATAAGCTGATCTTAACATTTATATGAAATTTCAAGGGATCCAGAATAGTCAAAATAATGTCAGAAAAATGACCAACTCAGAGGTGCACATTTCCAAATTTCAAATCTTACTACAAAGCAACAGCAATAAAAACAGCATGACGCTGGCATAAGGACACATGTATAGATCAATGGAACCGAATGTTGAGTCCAGAAATAAACCCATACTGATTTTTTTTTTTTTTTTTTTTTTTTTTTTTGAGGCAGGGAGACTCACTCTGTCTCCCAGGCTGGAGTACAGTGGCACGTTTATGGCTCACTGAAGCATCTGTCTCCTGGGCTCAAGTGATCCTCCTGCTTCAGCCTACCAAGTAGCTGGGACTACAGGTATGCACCACCACACGTGGCAAATTTTTTTATTTTTTTGTAGAGGTGGAATCTTGCTATCTTGCCCAGGCTGGCCTCGAACTCCTGGCCTCAAGTGATACTCCTCTCTTGGCCTCCCAAAGCATTGAGATGATGGGTGTTCTGGCCTGTTGATTTTTAAAAGTGGATTTTCTTTTCTTTTCTTTTCTTCTTTCTCTCCTCTCCTCTTTTTTTTTTTTTTTTTTTTTTTTTGAGGCAGGGATTCACTCTGTTGCCCAGGTTGGAGTGCAGTGGTGTGAACACGGCTTACTGCAGCCTCGACCTCCCAGGCTCAAGCAATCCTAACCTCCTCTGTCTCCTGAGTAACTAGTACTACAGACATGAACCACCACACTCAGCTAATTTTTAAATTATTTGTACAGACAGGGTTTTCTTGAGTTGCCCAGACTGACCTCAAACTCCTGGGTTCAAGCAAGCCTCCAACCTCAGCCTCTCAAAGTGCTGGGATTACAGGCATGAGCCACCACCTCCAGCCGGGAATTGTTTTCATAATTACATTCTCATGTTTGTTGCTAGTGTCTAGAAATACAACAGATTACCATGTGTTGACATTTTGTGCTGTAACTTGGCTGAATTTGTTCACTGGTTTAAATAATATTTTGGACGTTCCTCATGATTTTCTGTACATAAGATAGATTGTGTGGTCTGTGAATGGACAGTTTTACTGCTTCCTTACAGGTATGAATGCTCTTTACTTCTTTTTCTCTCCTATTTGTTCTGGATGGAACTTCCAGTACAGTGTTGAATTCAGTGATGAAAATGAACATTGATGCCCTGTTCCTGATCTCAGGAGTAAGGCATTGGGCCCTAACAATGGAGATGGTGCTAGCTACGGGTTTGGCACAAAGGCCGATTGCTGTGTTAAGAAAATTCCTATCCCTAGTTTGTCAGGTGTTTTTATGATGAAATGGTGTTGACTTTGTTGAAAGTACTTCCTGCATCTATGGAGATGATTATGTGGGTTTCTTCATTCTGTTTATTTGGTGTTTATTTGCAGGGATGGCTTTAGTATGCAAAACGAGCTTGATTTTCTGAGAAAAGTATTTAGTGATCATGGTGTGTAATTCTTTAAATATGTGCTAGTATCGATTATAATTATTTTGTTGAGCATTATTAATTGTATAATTATACCAGACATTGATCTATACTTTTCTGCTCTTGTGATGTCATGTCCTAGTGTGATTTAGTCTTAAATTGGGATGAGATTGAAAATGGGTTGGTTTAGTATTTAGAGTATTAAGGGTTAGAAGTTTGCAAGATAAAATTTAGCAGAAATGGGACGTACCTAAGGGATTGTGGGGAAGCGTGGGATGACGTCAGGGTCAGAGTCTGGGTGTAGGGGTGGGTAGCAAGACGGTGCCTGTAGCCTTCACCAACAGTAAATTGTAGCAGTCCTTTTTAATCTTGCAAATCAGGCAGGCACAGATGTTGCAGTGTTGTTTTAATTGTCACCTCCTTGAGTTTCTTGTTGAGGCTCAAACTCAACAGGAGTGCCTGGGAAGAAATTAGCATGCAAGAAGTGAGAAGACTGGAGTGCAACTTTGCGACAGTGCACCAGCCAGTGTCTGAACGGCAGGGGTTCCCAGCTTATCTTAAATTTAGAGGAAAAATAACATCTTTTATACTGTTATCACACAAAGAAGCTGGACTTTTTCAAATTTGTATGACTAATTTATATACTTTCGTTATTATATCATGTAACTAAAAGTTGGGGTTTTTTTTTCCTGCTTGGGAAGTTGGCAGAGGGCATGTCTTTGCTGGTGAGTCTGCTCCATGTAAGACTTTCTGTATACTTTTTCATTCTTGTTTGATTTTAAGATTTTTATATAAATGCTGCTTCTTAGTGTCCTAAGATGTCATAAAATTATCTCACATAAAATTTGAAGAAACAGAGTTGTTAGAGGATTACGTAGAAGGCAAAAAGAATGTCGTTACTGAAAAGATTTTATAAAACATTTATTTCTAAAAAGTGAGATGTTACTACTAGGCTATGCTTCTAACTATCCCTAATCATAAATTTTGTTTTATCCACTTTTGTTCACTCTGAAAATCAATTATATTATTAACGTTATATTTAAGAAGTTACATGTGATACCAATGCAATATTTTGAATTTCTGTTTAACTTTGAGGAAATATATCTTAAATCAAAATAGGTAAAACTGATTCGGTCTGAGTTTGACCTGAATCATAAAACAGTGGGAAAAAAAATTTTTACCAGGACTTTCAAACTGTCTCCTATTTCCTGTGTGCCTAAGTACATGAATTCATGTACATAATGGGTAAATTTGATGCCCTGTAAGGTGGTGAGAATGTGAAGGTCCCAGTGATTTAAATTATGACACAGAACTGAAGAGCAAATGTCTTGAGGCAAGATGGTGAAGTTGAAGTGTTGTCCTTATCAAATAAGAGTAGAAAGTTTGTGGTACTTATGGTTGCTTTGTGAACTGATTATATTCTTTGATCATGTATCAGTTCTTTTATTGTAAAAACACAAGTGTTTTATTATTTATGTATGTTAATAAGTTTTCCAATAAGGTCAGTATATCAATATTGTCTTTTGTAATTCCTGTTGTTTTCTTTGAAGAATCTTCTACCACTTATCCATAAATGTTAATCTATATTTTCTTCTGAAATGTTTATTTGTATAATGGTTTCATTTAAAAGACTGAACACTTTTGTTAGTCTAAAGTGCTTTTTCCCGGAAGTTAGTTTATATTAACACTGTTTTACAAATGAGAAACCAAAACAGTGAAATTCAGAAATATTACAAATCTGTTAAGAGGTGGAATAGGCTTTGGTCTCAGTCAATATACCTTTAGTCCCAGGCTGTGCTCTTAGCCATGAGGCTTAGCCCCAATAATCTTTTTATTTGTGAAGTTAACAGAGCTGCACTGCAGAATTTTTTAAAATTTTTTTAAACTTTAGTTTTAAGTTCAGAGGCACATGTGCAGGTTTGTTACGTAGGTAAACTCATGTTATGGGTGTTCGTTCTACACACTGCAGAATTTCAGTCTTCAAACTTTAGTTCATTTGAAATAGGGCCTGAATACCATGACTATAAAACTATTATAAAACAAGACTTTTGTGGCTTAAGTTACAGATGCTATACATTTTTCAGATACATTTTTCAGTGACAGAATAGACAATATTAAGGCTTAATATATAGCATTAGGACCAGACATTCATTTTATTTTTTCTCTTTACTGAGACTTTACCGATATTCCTGCGCCAGAGAGCATAGCATAAGAAATCAGAGCTGTGAAATTCCAGAGTCCGTAGATATTCATCCTAAAACATTCCTGCTCAGCTATTTTACTATCTCTTTTGGAGTTTATTTTGGTATATGTGTTGTGACGTGTGTAGTCATGCCTTCTTCTTAGTTGATTTTTTCCTGAGCCATTTGTTTAATAATTCCTATTGAATCTCATTGGTTTGTATAGCTTCTGCTATGTTAGTAAGTTCTCGGCCTCCACATTGTTTTCCGTTGTTACCTAGTCTGTTGGCAACCTCTGAAACCATGGAGATCTTCTGGGGCCAGGGATGTGCAGCGATCAATAGGGGGATAAGGAGACAGAGCGAGACTGCGTCTCCAAAAAAATAAAATAAGATGGAGTCTCGCTCTGTCGCACAGGCTGGAGTGCAGTGGCTCAGTCTCGTCTCACTTCAACCTCTGCCTCCCGGGTTCAAGCGACTCTCTTGCCTCAGATTCCTGAGTAGTTGGGGACTACAGGCGTCCGCTACCACACGCAGCTATTTTGTAATTTTAGTAGAAACGGGGTTTCACCATGTTGCTCAGGCTGGTCTCGAACTCCGGACCTCAAATGATCCGCCCGCCTCGGCCTCCCAAAGGGTTGAGAAGACAGGCGTGAGCCACTGCGCCCGGCCCCACTTTCCACTCTTGGACCAAAGCGCCCACAGTCCGGGTGAAGCAGCCTCCGGGGCTGCGTGGCAGGAGGGTGGCGGCCCTGCTGTGGGTCCTGCGCCTGGAGCCGGGTCTGGCCTCGCAGCACTGGCAGAGTTCTGGGTCCCAGAACTTCCACACCCGGCTCCTTCTTTCTGCCGCCTCCTGCAGGTGCTCCTCCTCGGAGCTCACCGCCGGCCTGCTTAGAGGGTGGGCGGCAACTCCGCCCCTATGGCGCGCACGAAGCGCAGACCCCGGGCCGAAGCCCAGGCCGTGGCCCAGCCGGGTAGTTGGCCCCGTGGCAGCGGCACCAGGCGGGAACCAACCGCCCAGCCCCGACTTGGTGACCTCCGAGTGCCCAGCGCCCACGACCCCTGTGGTCTGGGCGGGGACCAAGGAAGAGCGGGCCCTCAGGCCGGGCGGGCTGCGCACCCCTGACTCTGAGGCTGGCTGAGGCGAGCCCTGCCCGCCAGTGACGCGGGAATGGCAGCCTCGCTGGCACGCAGAGCCACCGCCAGAGGGTCTGGCTTTCTCCAGAGGAGGCCTCGGCATTCTCAGGTTCCAGCCGCTCTAGCCCCGTCCTGCGTCGAGACAGCTTTCCCACAGGCCGCCTGTCCTTCTCCATGGCCCAAACGCTGGGCCAGCTCCCACGAGCTTTGGCAGAACGCAGGGCCGGTGACAAGCTGTCGCTGACACGGGTGACGCCAGAGCCTCGCGCGGGCACGCTCAGTTGCCGTTGACCGGCTCCGAGAGCCGTTGACCACCCACCGGAAGTTGCCGCCACGTGCAGTGAGGCCCCAGAGGTGCGCGCGCCGCTCGCTTGTAACTGCTGGGTTTGGCGCTACTCTTCGGCCAGTGTGGAAACTGCGTTTCCAGCTTGGAGGTGGTGGCTGAGGTGATGCATTCGATAGGAGGCTCCCGAGGCTGGGAAAAGCAGATGGGGACTGAGGTTTCTCAGAAGCCGACAACGTCTGCCTTGAAGACCTCTGGCTTTGGGAGCGGCGTGGGCAGGTGGTGCTGCCGCTGCTTCCCCTGCTGCGGGAGCTGCAGCCAGGACGGCGCAGGCGGCGGAGTAGAGCACTGTGACAGCGCCTTCCTGGAGCCTGGGTACGACGTCTGCCCGGAAGATCTCGACGATCTCCACAGAGCTGCCTGGTGGGGCACAGTCCCCAGAGTGGAGCTCATCCTCATGCTCAGGGACCCTGGCTTGGACAAGAGAGACAAGAAGAAGAGGTAACGGGCCGGGCGGGGGCTGGGAGGGTGGGGAACTGGGAGAAGCCCTCCCCTGGGGACGGGGTCAGGGAGCCCTCCTGTCACCGGCCCAGCTTCCTCGCCTCCGCAGGCCCCGCAGCACCGGGGATGTGGGAGCCTTGGAGGAGTCAGGGCCCGGGCCTCTTCATGAGCCCCAGAACGAAAACCACACGCTGCCATGGTTTCCCTGTAGTGCACTTCAGAGACAGCTTTAAAGTGATTTAACTTCCAAAATTAAGTCTATGTATTTTATTTTTTGTTTATTTTTTGAGACGGAATCTGGCTTTTGTCACCCAGGCTGGAGTGCAGTGGCCTGATTTCGGCCTCCCGGGTTCAAGCGATTCTCCTGCCTCAGCATCCCAAGTACCTTTGACTACAGGCGCTCACCAACATGATTTTTTCCTCTCTTTAGAAGAGACGGGTTTTCACCATGTTGGCCAGGCTGGTCTCGAACTCCTGGCCTTCAGATGATCCCCGGCCCCCGCCCTCAGCCTCCTAAAGTGCTGGGATTACAGGCGCACACCAACCCGCCTGGCTAACTTTTTCCTGCTTTTAGTAGAGACGAGGTTTTGCCATGTTGGCCAGGCTGGTCTCGCGCTCCTGACCTTCAGATGATCCGCTCCCCCTTGGCCTCCCAAAGTGCTGGGATTACAGGCGTGAGCCATTGCACCTGGCCCGATATTTTATTTTTCAAGTGCACACTTTAAAACATGTTATTCACATTATAGAAAAGTGTATGTAATGAGAGAAACAGTTCCCATAATATATTAACTTCTGGGCTAAAAATTCTTTGGATAAAATCCAATATCCATTTTATATCCATGTACCCCTATGTAAATATATACTTTACTGAGGAACCTTAGAAGGAAGCATTAAAGTGGGAAGATGGTTCGTGTTCTTGAATAGGAAGAATTATTTCTTTCAAGATGGGAGCTCTTTCTGTGTTTATCAATGTCACCTACCCCAAAGAAAAACACCAAAGCTTTAACATTTAAAAATTGCACATGCTATATTTTATTGTTATGATGACATTAAAATTTTTTTGTAATGCAGTGAAAACCAATTTGCCTTCGCAGATATCAAAATGTGCTTTTAATTTCTACAAATGGTTTACTAACAGCTGGAAGACGTACATAAATGGAATAGAATACAAAATCCAGAAACACCCAAATATAAAAAAGAATATAGCACTTGATAATGGTGGCATTTCATATTAGTAGAAAAAGATGAATTATTTGTAAATGGAGTGCCTGCTGTTTGGCGAAAACTAGCTAAATATGTCACAAAAATAGGTTCTGGATGGAATGTAGATTAAAAAATGTTTAATATACAAAAAGAAAACTACTAGAAGAAAACACAAGTGGCCTGTTTATACAGACACATTTTTATGTTGACAAAGACCTTCCTAAGGAACTCACAAGCAAGCATTTTGAAGGTTGGTTTAGCAAAATAGAAATGGAAACACCCCATATATAAGAAAAAAATTGATAAAACGCAACATATTTGCAATGTATTTACAACGTACATGTATTTACACATATCAGATGAACCATGTATTTTCATTTTACAGAGAATTCTTTGAAATCAACAAGGAAATAAGCTTAAAATTGGGCAAAGTACTTTTCTGCAGCTCTGCAGTTGACCTACACACATAGGAAAACACAGCTCTATAATTGACCTATGCACATATTTAGTGTTTCTAGTAAGAGAAGAAATTTAAGTTAAAAGAAGAATAAAATACTGTTTTTTATCTACAAAGTTGTGAGGATGAAGAGCATTGGTACTTATAAGGCTGAGTAAAAAGCGTTGCTGATGGCTTTTCAAATAGACAATTTGGTGGTAAGTGCTACATTAAAAATGTATATGCCCTTTCTGCACCAATTCCATGATACTGAAGTATCTTTAGGAAATTATTAGATACATGTAATTTGTTTTCCTTAGTACTGCTGAAAATAGCAATGTTTTAAGAAGAACTCATATAGTGGATTTTATCAACAAATTTCAGTGCACGCATAGGATGGAATAATATGTAGCCATTGAAGGTGCCAATAGATACAGACATATTGAGGGAGAAGAAAAGGAAGAAATAGATAAACAGTTAAAGCTGGTCCTCAGGAATGCTGTCTGCCTGAAAAATCACAGCTACAGTGCACAGCTGCAAAATAGAGCAGCTTGGAGAAAAACTCAGACTGCAGAAGCTGCCTGCCTGTAGAATGACAGCCTGCAGTGCACCTGCCCAGATAAGCAGACAAGGCAGGCAAAGTCCCTTTGTTCTTTGTGTGATTAGCGAGGTCCCAGGAAAAAGTTTCCTCCACTTTTCAGGCATATACACGGTGGGAACTTGCACAGGGAGGCGGGGTGCCTACCTAAAACAAACCCACAGTTGTACAAACAAAAGAAGCAGTGCTTTATGCTTGTCTAGAGACATACCCACACCTACATAGATGAGGGGGAGTTCTGAAGACAGTTTTATAGTTAAGAAAAGTTACTCAAGCAGTTACAGAAATGAGAGCAGTTTTTTATAAAATCTTTTTAATTCAACTGTAACCTGGCAGTCCACTCAGACACCCCTCTCCACTACAGAGAGCTTTATTCTTTGGCTTATTAAACTTTTGCCCCAACCTCACCCTTTGTGTCCGTGCTCCTTAATTTTCCTGGTCGTGGACCATAAGCTCTACTACTGTCAGGACCTTCCATCCTTAAAAACTTTGTGTGTACCTGCCTAGGCTGAGCAAGCTGAAGAGACTTAACATTGCAGTATGAGGACTTTGTCCCAGTGGAAGCTTTTCCTCCCTCCTTTCGTACAAAAGCATTTCTGAAGGTAGAAAATAGTAAAAGAGAACCTTCAATTGCCATTTTGAAAATTTAAATCCAAGTATTAGTCATTGGAAATATCTGATTTACATACATTCTGTAAATCTAAGTACCGAATTAAATAAGCTATAACTATTCATTTGAATCCAGAGTTTCTGTTGGCTTAAATATTTTTGAAAATAAAAATAGGAATTACTTTTTTTTTTTTCTTTTTTTTTAAAATTTATTTATTATTATTATACTTTAAGTTGTAGGGTACACGTGCATAACGTGCAGGTTTGTTACATATGTATACTTGTGCCATGTTGGTGTGCTGCACCCATCAACTCGTCATTTACATCAGGTATAACTCCCAATGCAATCCCTCGGAATTACTTGTTTAAAAAATTTGTTGTTGTTTTAACTCCAGCCCTCTTTTGCTATAGTACTTTTTAGAACTAAAATTTATTTAAATGCCAGTCATCTTGGTAGAACTGTCCTAGACCTATTGTATATATCATACTCTACTTAATGTGAGGCACCATGAATTGTATGATGCCCCATTAGTCTTATGTATTATTAATAAGGGAAATGTTTAAGTATTGCCAATTATAGTTATAATAAGTTATGAATTATAAGTGGCATACCAATGTGAGAAGTGTTAAAATAGAAAATGAGCATGTTAGAATTATTGACATACAGCGTCAGCTCTAATCTTTAAAACATACCTCAAAATGTAGGTATAATTGTATTATTTTACTTAATTAAACTGTCTTTGTTAAGTAGTAGTAATGTAGCAGGATGAGTCGCAGACAAAACTCCTCAGACACCGAGTTAAAGAAGGAGGGGGTTTATTCGGCTGGGAGCATTGGTAAGACTCCTGTCCCAAGAGCCGAGCTCCCTGAGTGAGCAATTCCTGTCCCTTTTAAGGGCTCACAACTCTAAGAGGGTCCACGAGAGAGGGTCGTGATCGATTGAGCAAGCAGAGGGTACATGACTGGGGGCTGCATGTACCAGTAATCAGATCAGAAGAGAACAGGACAGGGATTTTTACAGTGCTTCTCCATATAATGTGTGGAATTTATAGATAATATAACTGGTTAGGTCAGGGGTTGATCTTTACCTACTAGGCCCAGGGTGCAGCACTGGGCTGTCTGCCTGTGGATTTCATTTCTGCCTTTGTAGTTTTTACTTCTTCTTTCTTTGGAGGCAGAAATTGGGCATAAGACAATATGAGGGGTGGTCTCCTCCCTTAGTAATAGCAAAAATTATAATATCTAATAATCATTGAGCTGTTACTTGTGCTGGGAACTGTTCTAATGCTTTGCATAAAGTCTCGTTTAGGCATCATAGTGGTTTTCAATGAGAGCGCTGCTATTTTCATTCTCATTTTATTGATGAGGAAATTCAGGCACAAAATAGCTAAGCGATAGCTAGGAAGTAACAGAGTTTAATTTAAAGTAGGACTGCAGCCCAAGTTGAATGGAATCTGAGGGCCACAATCTTTCTGTTCAAATTGGCTGCTCTTTTATTAATGTAGTGAGTAGTAAAAGCTAATAAATACTGTGCTTTTTTCACAAGAAAATTAAATATTTGTTTTGAAGGCAGAGGAATAGCAAGCTATTCAGTGTTTACAATGAATCATTGTATGTTTTTAGATAATGCACTATGACTAAAAAGTCTTCCCACTCTCAGGACGGCTCTACATTTGGCCTGTGCCAATGGCCATCCAGAAGTGGTAAAACTCCTGCTGCACAGAAACTGTCAACTTCACGTCTTGGACGGGGAAAAGAGGACAGCTCTCATAAAGGTATATACTAGCCAACTATTTCAGCGTGAGATGGATTTGAATTCAGTATATAGAATAAAAATGTATTTATCTCATATGAGTATAACTAGTTGGTCAAACCTGTGGAATGTTTGTTTTCACTTCCTAGAATTTACGATATATTTCTTGGTCTAATACTGACAGGCTGTCCAATGTCAGGAAGAGGAATGTGCAAATATTTTGCTAGAACATGGCGCTGATCCAAATATCCCAGATGTCTATGGCAACACTACTCTACATTATGCCATCTATAATGAGGATAAATCAATGACAAAAATACTACTTTCTTATGGTGCAAATATTGAATCAGAAAACAAGGTATAGATCAACTAGTTTTGTTTTCAAAATATTTGAAATGCATTTATTTATTTTTAAACTTTTAATTTCCATGGATTTTCGGGGAACAGGTGGTATTTGGTTACATGAGTAAGTTCTTAGTAGTGGTGATGTGTGAGATTTTGGTGCACCCATCTCCCGAGCAGTATATACTGAACCCAATTTGTGGTCTTTTATCCCTCACTCCCTTCCCAGCCTTCCCCGCTGAGTCTCCAAAGTCCATTGTGTCATTCTTATGCCTCTGCATTCTCATAGCTTAGCTCCCATTATGACTGAGAACATAAGATGTATGATTTTCCAGTTCTGAGTTACTTCACTAAGAAAATAGTCTGCAATCCCATCCAGGTTGTGGCAAATGCCATTAATTCATTCCTTTTATGGCTGAGTAGTATTCCATTGTATATATATATATATCACAGTTTCTTTATCCACTCATTGATTGATGGGCATTTCTTTTAACATTGACCTATGTTGAGGGTCAGCTTTACATATTTGGAAGCAAAACCTGAATAAAAATATTTAGAAATAATTAAGATTTTACTTTAAATATTGATATTTTTATTTTACTTATTTATTTTTGTACATGAATAAGTTCTTTAGTGGTGATTTCTGCGATTTTAGTGCAGCCATCATAGCTTAGCTCCTACTTGTGAGTGAGAACATGTAATGTTTGGTTTACCATTCCTGAGTTACTTCAGTTAGAATAATGCTCTCAAATTCCATCCAGCATGAATGCCTTTATTTCATTCCTTCTTATGACTGAGTAGCAATCAGTGGTGTATGTGTATATATTTGCTTGTTGATTAATGGACATGTGGGCTGGTTTCGTATTTTTACAATTGTGAATTGTGCTGATATAAACATGAATGTACAAGTATCTTTTTTGTTTTTGCTTTTTCACAGGGTGGACTTACACCATTTTTACTTGCCGTACTTGAACAAAAACAGCAAATGGTAGAATTTTTAGTGAAGAAGAAAGCAAATTTAAATGCTGTTGACAACTTTAAAAGGTACACTATGTTGACAAAGAGAGTCAAACTGTAAACTATTTGAAGAAATTTATTCTGAGCCACATGTGAGTGACCATGACATAGCCCTTAGGAGGTCCTGAGAACATGGGCCCAAGGTGATGGAAGCACAGCTTGGTTTTATACATTTTAGGGAGGCATGAGCCATCAATCAAATACGTTTAAGAAATACATTGGTTTGATCCAGAAAGGCAGAACAATTCAAAGGGCAGGGGGTTCCAGGGTATAGGTAAATTTAAACATTTTCTGGTTGACAGTTGGTTAATTGGTTGAGTTTGTCTAAAGACCTGGGAAATGTTCAGGTTAAGATAAAAGATTGTAGAGACCAAGGTTCTTTTGATATCTTATATTGGTTGCCCTTAGAGACAATAGATGACAAATGTTTCCTATTCAGATCTTTTATTTTTATTTTTATTTTTTGAGACAGAATCTCACTCTGTCACCCAGTCTGGAGTGCAGTGGCACGATCTGGGCTCACTGCGAGCTCCGCCTCCTGGGTTCACGCCCTTCTCCTGCCTCAGCCTCCCAAGTAGCTGGGACTACAGGCGCCCACCACCACGCCCGGCTAATTTTTTTGTATTTTTAGGAGAGGCGGGGTTTCACTGTGTTAGTCAGGATGGTCTCAATCTTCTGATCTCATGATCCTCCCATCTCAGCCTCCCAAAGTGCTGGAATTACAGGCGTGAGCCACACTGCACCCGGCCCAGATCTTTAAAAGATGGTAGACTATTAGTTAATCTCTTTAGCGTTGGGAGGGCCTGGAAGAAAAAGATCTTGCTGTGTTAATAGAGATTCTTTACAGATGCAAATTTTCCCCCACAAAGGACAGCTTTGCAGGGCCAAGCTACGGCAAAGAAATGTTTTTGGGAATAAAATATTTTGATTTTTTCCCTTGTCTCATAGTGTTATGCCAGAGTCAGGTTGGAAAGTAAGTCCTGATATATAGGGTTCAATAAAGCCCATCTGATGAGAATTTATGGTTTGTAAGGCATGACTCACCAGACCCCTTAGATAGGAATTTGGGAAAGAAAAAAAAAAAATCAGAGCTTAGTCCTCAACTAGTTGTTGTTGTTGTTTTTAAACTTATATTGCTCTAGAGTAGTAACAGTCACTCAAGTCAGAAATAATAAATTAATAAGAAGATTAACTTATTGGGATATAGTAAAAAATACCAACACAAATTATCGGTTAAATAGACAATTATTTGGACTGGGGAGTGTGAAGAAGGGCATATATAGGACTCGTCTTCTCTTATTATGTTGACTGATGTTTATTATTTGTGATGTGATGTTTTTGTCATATGAACTTATATTAGCTAAAGGGATTTCATATTAGTTTTGTTAGTTTTCTGAAGTGCGAACTTTTACTTTCTGACTCAGTATTGAACGGATTCATAACGCTTTTATAGTGGCTTTTAACTTCTTCTTATATTCTTTTCCATTAAATATTCTCTATTAAACATAAATAGGAGGGGAAAATCATTTTGCCTTTTGGAGGACTCTGCGCTAAGTTGCATTCTTTGAAGAATATTGATGACAAGTTATTTCTACATGATGGTTAATTGCTATTACCAGATACTGTGGGTTCATCTTTTTTTTTTCTTTTTTATCTCTAGTGTATTTTGATGTTTTTATTTTTAGTTTGTGTGGGCAGAGGGAGTGAAGATAGTTTTAAGTGGATACACTTTTCCTTTAATGAAGGAAAATTGTAGGTGGGTGATAAAGAGAATAGAGCTAAGCTTTAGATTCTTACAAGACTGGGTTTAATTCCTAGCTTTCCCACTTGCTAGGTGTGTGACGTTGCTGTTTGCATGCTGCTAATAAAGACATACCTGAGACTGTGTAATTTATAAAGGAAAGAGGTTTAATTTACTCACCATTCTGCACGGCTAGGGAGGCCTCACAATCATGGTGGAAGGTGAATGAGGAGCAAAGTCTTACATGGCAGCAGGCAAGAGAGCTTGTGCAGGGGAGCTTCCATTTATAAAACCATCAGATCTCATGAGACTTACTGTCTACCATGAGACAAGTATAGGGGAAAGTGCCCCCATGATTTAATTATCTCCACCTGGTCCTGCCCTTGACATGTGGGGATTACTACAATTCAAGGTGAGATTTGGGTGGGGACATAGCCAAGCCATATCACCTTGGAAACATTACTTATCACCAAATATGTTGTCCTGTATGAAGAGGATAATAAAGGAGGATAATATATCCTTCATGGGTGGCTGTGTGTAAGAAAGAAAGATTATATATGTAGCATGTAATGTGGTTCCTAGCACATGCTAGGTTACCATCATCATTAACTGAAAATCCTATGACTACTATTATTACCATAATTATTAATGTTACTGCTTTCACCTTCCAAACAGCTCTTACTGATAGGTCCCTTAGTTTATTTTTAATTACAACATGTAAGTCCAGGAAGGCAGTGGAGAAATCTTTACTTAAAACTTTGCCTACTTTAGATAAGTGACCACAGCATGGTTTCTTGCCCATCAAAGGACTTTATTTAGCAACTTCTATTATGTAATAGTTGACTGGGACAAGAGGCTTCCTCTTTGTCCCTTCGTTTTAGCCTTGGTGGTAATTTACAAAGACAAAGGCTTCTGCACCTCTTATGCTTATGTATGTTAACACATGTAAATGTTTAATTCTACATGGACAGGTAAGATATTAAATTGGTAAGGCATACCAAATTAGCTTTTAAAATTTAGAGTCCCTAAGAGTGAAGTTTACCTCTGTTATTTTAGAACAGCCCTCATACTTGCTGTATGTTGTGGATCAGAAATTATGGTCAGCATTCTTCTTCAGCTAAATATTGATGTCTTTTCTCAAGATATATATGGACGAACAGCAGAAGACTATGCTGTTTCTAGGCATTATATTAAGTAAGTGTTTACATTAAAAGGCTATTAACACAAAATGTTAAGGTTTAAAATACTTATAACTATCAAATCTTGTATGATATTTCTTAGTTCAGTTCAGGAGAGGCAGTGATTTAGTCTACTTCATCAGCCAGAAATCAAGCAAAAGGCTAGACTACATAGAAGTGGCAATTGATGCAGGATTCTTTATCTCAGGACTTTTAACCTTTATCTTTAGGAATCTCAATGTTGTCCATTTTATTCCAAGAGTAACCCTTGTACAAGGGATACAAATGGTGTAACATTTTTTATTTTTCTAATTAGTTATTTGGGTCTTGAAATGGACAGTTTAGCGGAAAGTCTTGTACTGTCTTCTGTGGGCTATCTCCTATATCCTCCTCTTTGATTTTTTCCAGAACCGAAGGGGTTCCCTAATTACAAGGTAGAAAATCTTTTTACAAGTCAGAAGGAGGAGAGAAAAAGGACATTCTAGTCAGTCTGTTCTTTTTGTCGATCCTGTTGCTGCATTGATGCCATTGAAACTGGTCTTGCAGTCTATTAATGATTGACCTTTGCCACCAGGATGCCTTTACTGGATTCAGAACCCTCAGTCCTCATGGTGATACATGCATAGACTTCAAAGTTACAGCTGTTTTAGTTCACATACCTAAGCTTATGTGTTCCCATTGTTCCTACACCATTGTTCCCAAAGCACCAGCACCCTGTTCTGGCAGCTGGACCTTCTAGCTTTAACCACAAACAGCACATGACCCTTCCCCCGACATGTAAAACCTATGTGGAGCCCACATCTTAGCCTAGACATAGCTAAGACCTTCATGGTATGTTATCCTTTGAAGCCCTTGTTGACCTTTTCTTTAGTGTGAATATTAGTTAGGGTTGTTCTAAACTGTCAGAGAGGTTCAAATCATGTTGTAGAAAGAGATCAGAGTTTCTTTTCTTTGCTACCAGATCTGTATCTTGAAGCTCCTTTTTATCCTTATAATGTCTTTTCTTGGGTGGTAAAAAGTCTCATATCACCCTTATGCAGAGCAGTGGGCCCCTCAAGACAGTTGTTTTCCACAGTATTGAAAATCTCCCAAACTGCTTGCATCTCTACCTGAAGTTTTAAAAATATTTTCAAATTTTACCTCATAGGAATCCATTCAGTAGAATTCTTGGAATCTCAGTAGGTTAGTTGGATTTATCAGAGTCAAGGCTCATCTGTGACTCATCACTATCCATATACAAAAATAGGGCTTTGTGCTTCCTTTGGCAGCACATATCCTAAAATTGGAACAATACAGAGAAAATTTGCATGGCCCCTGCATAAGGATGACACATAAATTTTGAAAGTGCTACATATCTTGCACAGTCACTGGGAGATCATTTGACTATTTGCTGGCTAACCCTGAGGAGACAGTGTGAGTCTTTGTGATTTACACTACAAAAATATTCATGTAAGGTGATCTATAAGATGAGAACGAAGCTGAGTAACACTTGAGATGTTGTGTGGAAATGTATTGTGAGTATGTCCCTCAGAAATAAGAAAATGTCGACATACATCTCCTTTACAAATATATTTTGTCTTCCATGTCAGTTGGAAATGAATGTGGAGATTAAGCATCACTGTAATAAAGGTCTGCTTGTTCAGAGTTTGAGTCTGTAGAGAAGGAATAGTAGTGTAATTCAGGTTTTGACATTCAGAGTTTCTTTTCTTTGCTACCAGATCTGTACCCTTCAGCTCCTTTTTATCCTTATAATGTCTTTTCTCAGGTGGTAAAAAGTCTCAATTCTCTCTTATGCAGAGGGTGATATTGAGAATCCCTGAATTACAAACCACAAAGAATAAGACAACTAATAAGCAAAATTAGGACTCTTATTTTTTTGTAAAATTAGGACTTAAAAACATTTTCTGAAGATTACAATATTAGAACCTAATATTGTATTAATTAGGATTAATATTAGAATATTCTAATATTAGAATATTAGAACCTATGAAAAAACACACATTGGGTTTTATTTGGAATTCCAAGATAGTTTCAGCAATAAAGCTTAAGAACAGATTATTTTATTGCTTCAAATTTAAAAAATGTTAATCTCATTCAGTCTCTGTAATCGCCTACCGAAATAAGGCAACAAAATCCTCACTTTTTAGAAGAATTTAATATATGTGGTAAATATTTTATATTGGTATTAAAATATTAATAGTAATTTTATTTATTTTTTATACTTAGAATTTGCCAACAACTTTCTGACTACAAAGAAAAAAATATACCAAGAAACACTTCTCAAAATAGCGATCTAGGTAAGACTTCTGATAGTGAATTACTCTTGGTGGTTGTACCACAGATAAAAAAGTAAGAGAAGTTTGAGAAATTCCTTTGTAAATTGCACATTCTTAATTTTTTCCTCAGTAGATTTCAGAAATATTTAAGAACTTCATTGTAGGTAATTTATAATGGCAAACAGTATTGTCTGAAAAAAATTATTTAATTATGGTTCCTAAAATTCTGTATAATATCTCTGTATAAATAAGAAAAAAATACTTTTAGGATGTTGTGTATTTTCTTTATAGTCATATTATAAATTGAAGTTGTTATAAAATTAAATATTCGATTTAATTTGTAAAATAAGTGGTTTGCATTTAGTAAATGAATATTACAGTTGGTCCTTGAACAGTGTGGGATTTAGGGTTGCCAATCCCTTGTGAAGTTGAAAATTTGTGTATGATTTTTTATTTTCCCCAAAACTTAGCTACTAATAGTCTACTGTTGCCCAGAAACCTTACTGATAACATAGTTAGTTAAGACATATTCGGTATGCTATATATATTATATACTGTATTCTTAAGATAAAGTAAACTAGAGAAGATAAACTGTTATTAAGATAATCATATGGAAGAAAATGTGTCCTATTCATTAAGTGGAAGTGGATCATGATAAGTCTTTATCCTCATAGTTTTCAAGTTGGTCAAGCTGAGGAAAAGGAGAAAGAGCAGTATTGGTCTTGCTGTCTGAGGTGCCAGAAGTGGAAGACAATCTGTGTATAAGTAGACCCCTGCAGTTCAAATTACAAACATTCTCCAACACACTGGGTTTTTATTCAGCCACAATTCACCATTCAGCCCCTGACTCAAACCTGTTCACAATCTAATATCTAGCTTCACTAGATAGAGAAGCTATTGAAACTGTGGAAAACAGTGTTTTCTGTCACTAAAAAAGTAACTGTCTTTAAAATTGAAAACCCAACAATGCCTTTTTGTTACCATAAGCAAATGGTAATAAGAACTGCAAAACTTAGCCAGTGTGCACCAATACCAATAGGAAATTATTTTTCAAAGATACCTGCTGAGTCCAGAAGTCAGAAAAGCAATTCCTCGTTAAGAAGCATAGGCCATGTTACATATTCTTCTAGCAACAAGGTCACACCATTATTGACTTCATTACTCCTAATTTAAAATTGAATGCCATATATTAACTTTCTTAGAACAAGATGTGTTCTTCTACCTGCTGGTCAATTGTCATGGTAAAAGTAATTTTGTTTGAACAAGATACTGGTATCATTAGCCAAAAGATTATCATAATCAGTATTCAAATTGCCCAACTATAGGCTCAACAAATTATAACAAAAGTACAAAAATGTTTCACAATAACAAAAATGCTACTTTGCTATCTGCATGTAACACCTAATACACTATACAATCTGAACAGTGTCAGTATACCTTTAATTTCTTGCATATTTATCAAGGTACTTCTGTAAGTTAGATTTTGCATGTTGCAGAAGACAAAGATGGGGTAGACATAGTTTTGGTGTTTAAGGTGCTCATAATGGAATAGAGCTGTCTCTATTTCATTTGTGTTTTTCAACAGAATTTCCCAAAAAACAGTGTTTTTATTCATTTATGGAGCTGTCCACTTAAGAAATAACTGTCAAGTGTCTTTCAGATGTTAAGCATTTTTCTAATGTCACAGAATACAAACATTTAAAAATACAGTCAGGGCCAGGCATGGTGGCTCACACCTGTAATTCCAGCACTTTGGGAGGCTGATGCAGGTGGATCACTTGAGGCCAGGAGTTTGAGACCAGCCTGGCCAACATGGTGAAATGCCGTCTCTACTGAAAATACAAAAATTACCCGGGCATGGTGGTCCATGCCTGTAATCCCAGCTACTTGGGAGGCTGAGGCACAAGAATCGTTTGAATCTGGGAGGCAGAGGTTGCCATCAGCTGAGATTATGCCACTGCTCTCCAGCCTGGGTGACCCAGCAAGACTCTGTTTCAAAACAGAAACAAAAACTACATGCAGGAGCTTGTTATTATCATCTAATAATGTTATCAAGTAATCAAGTAATAACTTGCTACTTTATTAAGTGCTTACTGTGTGCTAAGATGCCCTCTGGAAGCTTATAATTGTCCTTTATTACATATTTATTGTTGAATATGTGCCAGACACTTTACGTGGTGAGAAATGAGAGCTTTAAGTGGGTAGGATTTAAGGTAAGAAGGCAGGGCTAGTTGAACTTTTATAGGTCAGGAAGCAGAGAATGGTGTTTAAAGAAGGAATATCTAACAAGACTGTATGGCAGAACTAACATCTAATGAGATTGCACTTTTGGCAGAAGGAACATCTTACAAGATTGTGTGTTTGGCAGAAGGAACATCTAATGACGTTGTGGCAGAAGGAGCAGCAAGTGTAAAAGGTAATATGCTTAAGTGAACTTTGCAGGGTTTACGAGCACTTCCCTTTTGCTAATGTGAAAAGTGTGAGATGTGAGTGGTTGGGAATAAAGTGAATACCTAGCTAAGGCAAATTTATGACTGCCTTTTTTATACTATAGAGGTGAGTAGATCTTATCCTGTAGACCATGAGAAATTTACCAGGTAGAATGCTTTGGGCTGCAAATACTAGATGAGATAAATAAAAGTGGCTAAAACAGTAGGGACTAGAGTTGTTTTGGTGGTTTGGTGATATCATCAGATCCCACTTGTCCCTCTTTTCAGCTATGCTGTTGTCCGTGTATTGTTCATGTCCCCTTTCGAGATTGGCTAATTAGCAACAGCTCCAAAAATCGTGTTCTCACAATACAATATCCAAAGGTTAGAAGGGCTGATTTTCTTCACGTTTTTTTGAAATAGAGAGAAATCTCAGAATTATGCAGTGGACTTCCTGCAACATTTGCTGAGTAACATCTCAGCAAATGCTGAGTAACATCACATGTTCTTTCCTAACCAGGCACTGGGAAAGCAAATGGAGTTACTGTGATTAGCTTAGGATAACTGTTTCTCTTTTTGGAGCTGGGGAAGCATATTAGTATGATAAATATCCTGATACTTTTGTGTCCTCTGTATATTCTCAAATAGCCCATCTTCAAGCTCACAATTTTTTTCTTCTGCTTGATTTATTATTTTACTAAAAGACTCTGATGCATTCTATAGTATGCCAGTTGCATTTTTCTATTTCAGAATTTCTGCTTGATTCTGAGTTAATCTTTGTGTTATTGTGAATTTTTTTGCTATTTGAGTTTGATACTGTTCACTTACAATACAGGTTTTGCTAATAATACCAGTCAATTTGACAGAGTTCAGTTAGGATTATGATTATTGAACATAGCAGTTCACTTGTAGGTATCACATTTTTATAAATCCCATTCTCTATTGAATTTGATAGATGCAAAGAAGGGAAAGTAAGAATTCTTAAATTATTAATTGGCTGTCAATAATGTAATTAATATTAATTTTAGTATAGTCTCCAGGTATAATCTGAAAAAGAATACTTGGTAAGAAAGCATTAATCTTATGCTTTAAAAAACATTAAAAAACAAGGTCTAAAGCATTCATCAAAGTGTGCATAACTTTTAAAAATGAAGATGGCAGAGTCTTGTTATATTATCCACTTTGGTCTCAAACTCCTGGGCTCCTCAAGCAATCTTTCAGCCTCAGCCTCAGCCTCCTGAGTAGCTGAGATTACAAGCAGGTACCGCCAGGCCCTTTTAGGCTTTCAATATTCTACGTTTTTCTATTGTTGATTAAAATGCATTTTACTTTTTTTTAAAAATAGTGGATGGGCGTTCTGAAGACTCTGCTGTCAGGTAGGATTCACAGATTTTTAAAAATTATATGTTAACTAAGGTAATACAGAGAAAAGAAACTAACATCTGTTGAGTGTTGTACTCTGGGCTAGAAACCATATTATATGCTTAACTCACACAGTCATCATAACAGCTTTGCAAACTATCCAGGCTATTATAACCAACTTTTTACTAATTAAGCAACTGTGGTTCAGAGAAGTTAACTGGCCATGATCCGATAATTAACAAGCAGCTGACCTATGATTTGACCATCAGCTTGCTGGACTCCCAAGCTCCTTCTCTGTCCCTCAGCATAGACTGATAGATACCGTGCAGCCCTGGGATCAAGGTACAGGTACAAATTAGATGAATTCAGAAAGTCAGATCTAGTTATATATTAACTCTGGCTTACACACTTTTCCTTAGAAGCCTGTTTAATTCAAGAGTTTGTCCTAATATACTGAACAATTTCGGTGGTAACCAGTGCCTCATTTTTACCCTCAAAGGTTTCAGGGCAGGTCTCATTTAGCTATAGCCACAGGACCATGGGTTTTACATAAGCAAGACCAGGCAAGTCCTGAAGAGGAATTATTTTCTTGTAAGTGAAGGGTATCTACATATAGACCATGTTATGATAAGTATATTTCACATCTAGTTAGAGGCTGTTTCTAATTGATTTCTCTACTTACTGACTTCCCAGTTTAGTTTTCTCTTTAGTTTGCCCTGCCTAGTTCCATGAAACTTTTTTCTCAAAATCTGATTTTTCTATAATCTTTTCTTGAGTTTTAACCTTCCTCTCTGCTTTTCTTGGTGGTTTTTTTTTCTGTTATTTTTTTTCCATTTCTTCCAGCTAAGTATTCCCCCTTTCTCTAGAGACAGAATCAAAAGCACATAGAATTTCAGGATTTTAAGGAATCTTAGTGAGAAATTGAAATATCCTCTAGTACTTCAATCTGTGTTTAACACCATGGTCAATTGGTTGCTCAGATGGAGAACCTGAAACTGAAAGAGGTTAAAGTTACTTATTTGTTCATAGGAAGTGGCAGAAATGAGAGTGGAACTCCTGAACTCCTTTGAAAGCTCAGTGTTCTTCCTTTTTTTTTATCATCCTATTGGTAGGTTTTTTTAATAATGGAAAGGGAAAGTGGGAATAGGGAAAACAGTGGAAGAAGAAAAGATGGAATTAACTGGTGAACGTAATGGTAGAGGATAAGTATGAAATTAGCAGAGAAAGGCCTAGTTTGAAGAGAAACAACACTGAGTTAGGTAGGAATAAGGGTTATAGAAAAGAGATCAGAATATTAGGGTTTATGACAAATTTGATAAAGATAAGTTACAGGAATGAAGCATACAGGACATTGGGAGTTATCTAGAAAGGCATATTAAAATAGGTTCAAGGAGTCCTGGACAAGTTGCTGCCTTTTTGTTTGTTAAATTGGCGCAAGTGACACACTTCAAGGTTTCACCACAACTTGCGGAGGGTGTCTCAGAGCCCGTCCAGTACCAGGGGCCTGGAGGTTGCTGAACTACATAGATCTGTGGCCCAGGACAGGTGTCCTCTCACCTGCCTCTTTTTCTAATCCACTGACATCCTTCCCATGCCCATGTAGGCTAGGGCAGGGGTGGGATTGGCTGGCAAATAAGTCATGGAGCTTCAGTTGAGTCGTTGTTACCGCATCTATGCTGGGGCAGATGACAGATTCCCTTTAGCTTGTTTTCCAGGAAATAGAGAACTCCTGGTTTTGGTCATTGGAACCCACCCCTTTAGGAGTTTGTACTTCCACTGGCTGAATATTTAAAGGTGGAGGTTGCCACAGAGCCTTGCAGAAGAGGAATCTACAGGTGGGAGCCCATAGGAAGGAAGATAGATAGTCCTTAGGGAAACAGAGGTACAACTACCAGGACTGTGTTTTTCCAGCAATCTCTCTCCTCGGTTATCTGAGAGCCTCTGAAAGTTTTTAAAGGGCTTGCTAGTTTATGTGAACCTGAATAGGGCAGGACTTACACAGGGAAAGTAATTGGATTTTATAATTTTTACTGTTTTAATCCTTCTGGGAATAGTATTTTTAATAACAACATACATTTGTCCTTTGACTTTTGTATATTTAGCTTTTAGATTCCTTGTACTGTTTCAGGGTAAAGGGAAGCAATAAGGCCTTCTGAATTGATTTTCACACCGAAGAACCGAGACTGCCACTTTCAAGTGACATAGACTAATCTTTGAACAAGAGATAATGGAGAAAAGACAGTTTTTTCTTTTTTCTTTCCTTCTTTCTTTCTTTGTTCCCTCCCTCCCTCCATTTTTCCTTCCTTCCTTCCTCCCTTCCCTTTCTTCCCCTCCCCTCCCTTTCTGTTCCTTTTTTCCTTCTTTTCCCTCCATTTCTTTTTTCTTTCTTTCTTCCTCAGAGTCTCACTCTGTTGCCCAGGCTGGAGTACAGTGGTGTGATCTTGGCTCACTGCGGCCTCCACCTCCTGGGTTCAAACTGTCCTCTCACAACAGCTTCCCAAGTAATTGTGACTACAGGTATGTGTGTCACCATGCCTGGCTATTTTTTTTCAGGGCTGGGTTCTCGTCATGTTGCCCAGGCTGGTCTCCAACTCCTGGTCTCAAGCAATCCACCCACCTCAGCCTCTCAAATTGCTGGGATTACAGGCATGAACTACTGTGCCTGGCTGAGACACTGTATCTTTCTACCTTTTTTAAGGTTATCAGATTTGTTACAGTTCAGGTAACAAAAATTATGTAAGCTGTTAATTGGATTTTCAGTTCAGCCTCCAGGACATACAGTTTGTGAAGACCTATTATTCTCAGGCTCTGCCAATAGCTCTGGCTGTCATGATTTGTTCTGGAACTGAAGGTGTCTTCATTGACTATATTTGATATGTTGGGAGAGGTGGAAGGAGGTAACTAAAATCTTTTATAACAGGTTAAATTTTAATTGTATTAAGAAATATTATTTAATACACAGATAGCTGACCTCTAACCTGTTTGTTTTTTTTTTTTTGAGGAGACATCCAGATATGATCTTGGAAATTATTTTTAAAGAAATGAATGCACTAATTTTTATGTATATTTTTGCTCCAAAGGTTTTCTGGCAAACAAACTATTGATTATTTATTGCCTACATCAAATTATGAAGACATTGATTCTGATATCAAGGTAAAAATGCTCTAATGAAATTAATTTTCTCATTCTGAATCTAGGTTTCTATATTTACTTTTAAAATTTAGCAGTGGTCTACTTATTGTTTTATGTTTGTAATGAATAGTTGGTTAGAGAAAGCCTTTTTTAGAAATACAACTAGTTGAGTTAATTTTTTTTTTTTTTACTTTGGTAAATAACAAATGATCGTTAAATACTAACAGGGTGAGGGTAAAACAAGAATGACCTGGAAAATACAATGTAGCAGGAAAATTAGGTTAAGCTTTCTTACCATAGAGGAAATTTGACACATGATCAAGGTTTATTTTGATAAGTATTCTTACTGTGGCTTTTAAATCATACACACCTTTATGATACTTATGGCTAATGAAATCTTTAATGGATCCAATTACTTATTATAGTAATCATGGAATCTCCCGGATGCCTTTCATTGTCAAACCTATACAGAAGAGAGCATATCATTTCTTTTTTTCCTTGGACACTTACTAATTTGGTATCATGTACTTGTTAAGAGAAAGCTTTTTCTCTGTTTCTATCCTTGATTGAGTAGTTAGACTAAAATAATATTAGAAATTACAGAAACTTGGCCAGGCGCAGTGGCTCACGCCTGTGATCCCAGCACTTTGGGAGGCTGAGGCAGGCGGATCACTTGAGACCAGGAGTTTGAGACCTGCAAAATATAGCCACACTTGGTGACATACACACCTGTAGTCCCAGCTACTTGGGAGACTGAGGTGGGAGGATAGCTTGAGCCCAGGAGGTGAGCCAAGATCACACCAGCCTGGCCTACATGTTGAAACCCTGTGTCTACAAAAAATACACAAACTAGCCAGGTATGGTGGTACACGTCTGTAATCCCAGCTACTCGAGAAGCTGAGGCAGGAGAATCACTTGAACCCAGGAGGCGGAGGTTGCAGTGAGCTGAGATCATAGCCCTGCACCCCAGACTGGTGACAGAGTGAGACTCTGTCTCAAAAAAAAAAAAAAAAAAAAAATGTGGAAATTTAGTTGAGTATTGTGGCACATGCCTACAGTCCCAGCTATTAGAGAGGTTGAGGTTGAGGTGGGAGAATTTATTGAGCCCAGGAGTTAAAGACCAGGCTGGCCAACATAGCAAGACCTTTTCTCTAATTAAAAACAATTGTGGAAAATTAGAAATGTACATTTTCTTCTCAAAATCTGTATTACAAAGAGATTCCACTGAGTTTTCCAAGTCATTTCATTAAGAATACACTTTTAAAACTCTTCATCTAAATGAAGAATACATATTTTGCCCAATATAACAGCCAGTTCTAGAAGCAGAGACTCTTAATAACCATAGAAGACTTTAATTTCATTTTTTTTGCGTTGTAGTTTGTGAAAATATCAACTCAAAATCCTTGTATTATGTACTTAAATTTAAAATTTCAGAAGTTTTTGTATTTAGCTACTTAAGTAATCATTTAAAAACTCCTGCATTAGTATGAGCTACTGGAGGTTAGGAAAAATATTTGTTTGTATCCCGGAGTACCTAGAATAACATCTTGCATGTAACAAGCTTCTAATATTTTGGAATGTAAATAAATTCATGGACAAATGGATTTCTATACAATGAAGGGTTACAAGTAACATAATATACATAACTAATAAATCTATTACATTTCTAAAATATAGCTTATATTTGTATTTCCCTTTTTTGTGTGTGAGACGGAGTCTCACTGCGTCAATCAGGCTGGAGTGCGGAGTGGTACAATCTTGGCTCACTGCACCTCCACCTCCTTAGTTTAAGTGATTTTCCTGCTTCCACCTCCTGAGTATCTGGGATTACAGGCATGCACCCGCCATGCTGTCCAGGCTGGTTTCAAATTCCTGACTTCAAGTGATCTACCTGCCTTCGACTCCCAATGTGCTGTGATTACAGGCATGAGCCACCATGCCCGGCCTGTATTTCCTTTTAATGTATACGATGCATAAATTCAGATGTGTTATATTGTAAACATATGCCATAAATAAGAAGGAAATGAATTAGAAATATGCTATCACTAGAAAAGATGATCACAGTATATTTTCTAGTATCTTTCAACTCTAAGCTTAGATTAGAATTTTAGATTAAAAAATTTAAACTTTCTTGAGCCCCAACTCATGTTCTAGCAAATCTATCTTTTCAAGCCATACATTACTCTGTAGAATTCCAATTACTAATTCTTTGTCCAAGTGGAGCGTTTCTTTTTCCATTTTTCTCTCTCTATAGTAATACTGTTCCAGCTTTCAGGTAGTGGTAGCTGATCATGTTTAACTAATTTAATATATCGTTTTATAGTATAAAATTAAACTCTTTATTACAGCAATATTTACGACACACTGATTTTGGAGTAAATACTGATCAGTATTGTTATGGATATACTATGAACAGAGGTCTCTATGATATATCTGTATTTTTCCATGAACCTTCCTGTACTTGATGATATTTCCTTGGTTCCTGCTTGAAAATTATAGATGTATTTGAAAACTTAAATCATCAGCTTGGATAATCTTAGCCTAATTTTTTATGCTAGATCCTTTCTCCAATTTTTAGGTACCATTCTATATGGTGTAAATAGGAGATTAGAATTATTAGTATGTTGTTTACAGGGGAATAAGAAAGCTATGCAATTTTAAAAACAGGGCTTTACATTTCTCTCTTATGTTATACTAGTGCTGAAAAATGCCTCATCATTCTGTAATCACAGAAGCATTTCTCTTCTACAGTTTCAAACTTCAGAATTTTTAAAAAGGGATGTTCTGGCAGCATTTTGAATTGATGTTTTAAAATTAAAATTTTTGACTCAATTTGAAGTGCATGTTACCACAATATTCCAGAAATAAATGTTTGCATGTATTAATAAAAGTGTATCTTATATTTTTGAAAAAAATGTTGAAATATGTAATTGCAAAATTGAATCTCATAATTTATTTTTTGTACTTATTTTCATTTTCAAAATTTCAGAGTTCTCTATAGGCTTGCATGATTTAATTCTACTGATTTTGACCCTTTTGACTTTTTGTGACCTGCTATCATCTGGTTTTTCTATCCTAGTAAATAATACCTAGTAAGTAGCACTGAAATGTCGAAGTGGAAGAAATTTTGGGTTTCAGCCCTCCCTCAAATCACCAGTCCAGTCACTCACCAAGCTCCATATTTTCCACGAGCTTACTATTTTTATATCTTACTACTGTAATTCACTCTCTGACCCATAATTTTGAAATACTCTTGTCTAGTTTTGTCCCCCTCACCATGTTCTGTTCGTGTAACTGTACATTGCTGCCAAGGTGACCTTTCTAACATATTTTTATTATGATCTAACTCATCTGCTTTTGCGTGGATCCTTATTACATCCTGGGGAAAGCTCACAGTGTAGCAGGATACACAGGATACATATTTTTGTGTTTTGGCCTGATTCTCCCATTTTATCTCTTTATCTCATTCACTCTGTGTTCCAGTTTTATCATTACTTTGGTAGCCCTCATTCACCATGCCTCTTTTTTTTTTATTTTTTATTTTTTTACTTTTTTTTCTCATGCTGTCCTGTATAGGAACCCTAATGTCCTCACTCTATACTTTGTCTCTCTTTCAAAATAGTCCCTATCTTTGCAGCATTTCCTGAACTTCTCAGGTAGAACTGACTGTTAGCCCTTTTGTGCCCTTACTGTACTTGGTTCACTTCAGTTGTAGAACTAGTGAATTATGCTTTTCTGTTTTTATTTGTTTTCATATATTTCTACCCTCAATCAACTATAAGGCAGAATCTATCTTGTATATACATATTCAACTTCTCGCAGGATATTGCCTATGATTTGATAGACACAGTGAATGTTTGAGGTCTTACTGGTTGAATGATTGAGTGGTAGAGTGAATAAACACAATGTTTCCTGAAGTTTGTTGTTGTTGTTGTTTTTTAATAGGATGGACCAATTAAGCCAGCAAATGGACAAAGACAAAATGATACTGGTGTTATTGCAAGTGCCCCACAAGAATACACAAATAATGACAGTTTAATTTTTGTTGACAAAAACAACAGAAGTGGTAAGTTAGTGAATATCTGTAAGAATTTTTTAATGCTTACATGCTATTATTAAAACACATTAAAGTATGTGAGACTCAAATACAATATTCAGCTCTTTGAAATATTTTTACGGTCTTTCTTCATATTACCAATTTCTTCCTAAATCTACTTTAATCCTCTGAATTTCTATTTTGCTGTTCTACTTTATTGAGATATTTGTGAATGCGTGCAGCCTTGTTTATGTATTTAAAATTCAGGGTGGTAAGTATTCTCATAACTCTCTTTGTTCATAATGTTTTACAGATACAACAGCCACATCAGGATCCGGACAAGACAGAAATATGGAATCACTTTTGGATTCCGAGGTATTGTCTATTGTTTTTGTTGTTACCATTTTAAAATATAAGCATTAGTGATGTTAAAACGTTAAAGAAGATACTTTCACTTTGCTTTCTCACTGCTGTTTGTGCTTATAAGGAATTATTTTCTTACGTTTTCAGCCCCTAACTAATAAAGCAGTTATGGACTGAGTATATTGCTACTGCATAGTACAATTTGGCTAATTTGCAGAATTCATTTAAGAAGCCAGTGTAGTACAGTTCAAAAACAAAGCTCAGAAGTCACAAGGAATGAGTTTGGATTCTTAAGTAAAAGGATTGGTAAATACTAAGAGGGAGTAGAGATGAAAATAATGGGCTTTTAAGTACATTGTGATACAACAATTATAGTAGGCTAAGCTTTCTTACCATAGAAGAAATATGAAATGTGGCCAAGGTTTATTTGGATAAGTATTTTTACTGTGACTTTTAATTCATGCAAACAGGCCCAGTGTGGTGGCTCACACCTGTAATCCTTGCACTTAAGAGAGGCCGAGGTAGGCAGATCACCTGAGGTCAGGAGTTCGAGACCAGCCTGACCAACATGGTGAAACCCTGTCTCTACTAAAAGTACAAAAATTAACCAGGTGTGGTGGCGGGTACCTGTAATCCCAGCTACTCGGGAGGCTGAGGCAGGAGAATCACTTGAATCCAGGAAGCAGAGGTTGCAGTGAGCCAAGATGGCGCCACTGCACTCCAGCCTGGGCATCAGAATGAGACTCTATCTCAAAATCAATCAATCAATCATGCTAACATGACTTATAAAACTTACCATTAACTAAATCTTTAATGGACACAGTTACTTACAGTAATCATGGAATCTCTCTGGTGCTTTTCATTTCTAAAACTGAACAGTAGATAGCATATTCTTTTTTTCTTGAACACTTATTATTTTGGTATACATTTTCAAAATGTTTTTATTTTAATTTTTGTTGAGTACATAGTAAGTGTATATATTTATGAGTTACTTGAGCTATTTTAATACAGACATGCAATATGTAATAATCACATCAGGATAAACTGTATTGATCACCTTGATCATTCATCCTTTGTGCTTCACATAATCCAATTATATTCTTTTAGCTATTTTAAAATGTACAATTAAGTTGTCTTTTACTGTAGTCGTCCTGTTGTGCTAGCAAATCCCAGGCCTTATACCTTCTGGTTTTTTGGTACACATCAATCGTCCTCCAACCCCACACTCTACAACTATACTTCCCATCCTCTGATAACGATCCTTATTCTCCCTATCTCAATATATTGAATTGTTTTGATTTTTTGAACCCATAGATAAGTGGGCAATATTTTTCTTTCTGTGTCTGATTTATTTGACTTCACATAATGATCTCTAGTTTAATCCTGTTATTGCAAATGACATTTTCCTTACATTTGAAAAACAAATTTCAATAGTTTTTGGAGTACAGGTTGGTTTTGGTTACATGGATAAGTTCTTACATGGTGATTTCGGAGATGTTAGTGCATCCGTCACCTGAGCAGTGTACACTGTACCCAATGTGCAGTCTTTTATCTTCCAACACCTTCCCACCCTTCCTCCCCACCTCCCCAGAGGCCATTATATTATTCTTATGCCTTTGTGTCCTCCTAGCTTAGCTCCCACAGAACATACAGTATTTAGTTTTCCTGAGTTAACTTTACTTAGAATAATGGCCTCCGGCTCCATTCAAGTTGCTGCAAAAGACATTATTTCGTTCATTTTTATGTATGAGTGTATTCCATGGTGTCTATATACCAGATTTTCTTTATCCAGTCATTGGTTAGTGGGCACTTAGGTTGGTTCCGTATCTTTGCAGAAGTGCTATCTGGGAGTCAGGGACTAGAGTGAAAAACCTCAGAATTTTACTTGGTGTTCTGTTGTACTGTGGCTGAGCTGGGCCTCACACCGCAAGGTGCAGTGCTTCCCACTCTTACCTCTCCTATCGGATGGCCGAGGAGACTCGCCCTGTGGCCAGTGCTACCACAGGTTCTTAGGGAGCACTGCCAGGCTACCGCTGATGTCCACAGGTTCTTAGGGAGCACTGCCAGGCTACCGCTGATGTCCACAGGTTCTTAGGGAGCACTGCCAGGCTACTGCTGATGTTCTGGTAAGGCCTGAGGGCTCTTCAGTTAGCTCGTGGTGAATGTTGCCTGGCCTGGCACCCTTCAGGGGAGTGGGCCCCCATTTGGCCCGGGGATGGTCCAGAAATGCTGTCCAAGAGCCAAGGACTGGAATTGGGGACCCCAGGGGCCTGCTTGGTGCTCTAGCCTTCATGGTCCAGCTGGTACCTAAGATGCAAGTCAAAGACCCCTTTACTTTTCCCTCTGCCTTTCTCAAGCAGAAGGAGTCTTTCCTTCTAGCCATTACAGCTGGAAATATCCTGTCTCACCTGAGGCTAGTGTCAGTGTTTCACCCAGGACCTCAACGTAATACCTGTGTGTCACTGCTGGTTATTCAGGGTCCATGGGCTCTTCAGTTAGTAGGCGATGAATATTGCTACGAATGAGTTCTTCCCCTCTCCAGGGAGTTCCCTGTGGCCCAGGGAGTATCTAGAAACACCATATCAGAACTAAGGCCTGTAAGGGGGGACTCATGACTCTGACCAGTATCCTACTCTGTTGTAGCTGAGCTGGTATTTAAGATACAAGACAAAGTCTACTCACTGTTTCCTTTCCCCTCCTCAAGCGGAAGGAAGGTGTCTCTTTTGGTGCCCCAAGCTGTTCAGCCTGGGATTGGAGGAGGAGTAGCACCAGCACTTTTGTACATGCCCCACCCCATCGTCCTCTGGCTTATAGCACAGTTCAGCACTTGGACCCACCTGGGAATTGGAGTCCTTGTGGCTTAGACTGCCTTTCAAGTTTTAAGTAGGGCCCTGGGACAATTTAGCATGCTGGTGACAAGGCTTGTGGGAACTCAAGTTGTGGTTACTGGGATGGGTGATTCCCCTTTGGCCAGGGCTGGTTTAAATGCTCTCCCTGTGGGTGAGCATCAGCTAAGTTTATTCCAGTTTTGCTTTTTGCTGTAATAGGGCAACACTGAGTTTAATGCAACATCTCACAATTGCTTTACCCTCTCCCAAGTGCTCAGATTCTCTGTGTACCATGCTACCACTGCTGGGGGATGTGGGAGTGTTGACATCGATGATTCAAGACTGTTTTTCCTACCTCTTCAGTGCCTCTTGTAGTCGTCAGAAGTTACAACCAGGCGCTTTCAGTGTTCACCTGATTTTTGGTTCTTACAAAGGTGTTTTATTTCTGTAGGTAGTTGTTAGATTGGTGTCCTTGTTGGGAAATAATTGATGGAGCCTTTTATTCTGCCATTTTGCTTGCCTCCTTTTTTTGGTATCATACACTTCTTAGAAGAGAAGTTTATTTTCTGTTTCTATCCTTGGTTCTGTAATTAGAATAAAATCATATTAGAAATTATGGAAATTTAGTTGGGAATTGTGGCACACGCCTGCAGCTGCAACTGTTGAGGAGGCTGACGTGGGAGAATTTCTTGAACCCAGGAGTTAAAGACCAGGCTGATTAACAGAGTGAGACCTTTTTACTAATTAAAAAAAATGTGGAATTTTAGAAATGTAAACTTCCTCTCTCAAAATCTGTATTACAAAGGTATTCCACTGTGTTTTCTAAGTCATTTCATTAAGAATATACTCAAAATTCTTCATCTAATTGAATAATACATATTTTGCCCAAAATAACAATTCTAGAAGCAGACTCTTTGATAATCATACATAAAACTTTAATTTCAGTTTTTTTGTATTGTAGTTTGTGAAAATATCAACTCAAAATTCTTGTATTCTTAAATTTTAAATTTCAGAAGTTTTTGTATTTCACTATTTAAATAATCATTTAAACACTCTTGCATTAGTATGAACTACTGGAGGTTAGGAAACATATTTGTTTGTATCCTGGAGTACGTAGAATACATCTTGCATGTAACAAGCATTATAATATTTTGAATGTAAATACATAAATGGACAAATGGATTTTTATCTAGTGGAGTATTAGAGGTAACATAATATGCATAACTTACTCAATAATTAAATCTCTTGCATTTCTAAAATATGGCTTAATCTGATATAGCCTTTTAATGTTTAGGATGTATAAATTCAGATGTGTTATGCTGTAAAAATATGTCATAAATAAGAAGGACGTGAATTAGAAATATACTATCAATAGAAAAGATGGTTACAGTGTATTTCCTAGTATCTTTCAACTCTTAAGCTTAGAATTTTAGATTAAAAAATTTAAACTTTCTTGAGCCCCAACTCATGTTCTAGCAAATCGATCTTTTCAAGCCATACATTACTCTGTAGAATTCCAATTACTAATTCTTTGTCCAAGTGGAGAGTCGATGGAACATTTCTTTTTCCATTTTTCTCTCTCTGTAGTAATAATGTTCCAGCTTTCAGGTAGTGGTAGCTGATCATGTTTAACTAATGTATCATTTTAGAGTGTAAAATTAAACTCTTTATTACAGCAATATTTACAAAACACTGGTTGTGAATACTGAACAGTGTTATCTAGGTGACACTATAGACAGAAGTCTCTTTTGTGTATCTGTTTCTCCGTGAACCACACTGTACTTGATTATTTTGTCTTAGGGCTTGCTTGATAATTATAGATGTATTTGAAAACTGTTCTGTTTTAGAAACTTTTATTTTAAGTTTAGGGGGTACATGTGCAGGTTAGATAGAGAGGAAAACTAGTGTCACGAGGGCTTGTTTTACATATTATCACCCAGGTATTAAACCTAATAATCATTAGTATTTTTCCTGATCCTTTCCTTCCTCCTACCCACAGTACATTCCAGTGTCGGCTGTTCCCCTCTCTGTGTCCATCTACTCTCATTATTTAGCTCTGACTTATAAGTAAGAATATGCGGTATTTGGCTTTCTGCTCCTGTGTTAGTTTGCTAAAGATGATGTCCTCTAACTCCATTCACGTTCCTGCAAAGAACATACATAATCTCACAATTTTGTATGGCTGCATAGTATTTCATGGTGTGTATATGTACCACATTTTCTTAAATCATCAACTTGGATAATCACAGCTTTATTTTTATGCTAGATTCCTTCAGTTTTTATTTTGATTATTTTGGGGGGAACAGGTATTGTTTGGTTACATGAATTAATTATTTAGTGGTGATTTCTGAGATTTTGGGGTACCCATCACCCAAGCAGTGTACATTGTACCAAGAATGTAGTCTTCTATCTGTCACCCTCTGCTTTCTCCTGAGTTTCAAAGTCCATTGTATTATTCTTGTGCTTTTGAGTCCTCATAGCTTAGCTCCCACTTCTGAGTGAGAACATACAATGTTTGGTTTTCCATTTCTGGGTTACTTCACTTAAAATAATGGTCTCCAACTCCATCCAGGTTGCTGGGAATACCATTATTTCATTCCTTTTTATGGATGAGTATTATTCCATGGTATATATGTGCCACATTTTCTTTGTCTACTCATTGATTGATGGGCATTTGGGTTGGTTCTGTATTTTTGCAGCTGTGAGTTGTGCTGCTATAAACGTGTGTGCAAGTGTCTTTTTTAACATAATGAGTTCTTTTTCTCTGGGTAGACACCTAGTAGTGGGATTGCTGGATAAAATGGTAGATCTACTTTTAGTACTTTAAGGAATCTCCATGCTATTTTCCATGGCGATTGTATTAGTTTACATTCCCAGCAGAAGTGTAAAGATGTTCCCCTTTCACCACATTCACTTCAACATCTATTTTTTTTTTTTTTTTAATTTTTAGATTATGGCCACTCTTGCAGGAGTAAGGTAGCATCGCATTGTGGTTTTGATTTGCATTTTCCTGATAATTAGTGATGTTGAGCATTGTTTCATTTGTTTGTCAGCCGTTTGTGTATCTTCTTTGGAGAAATGTGTATTCCTGTCCTTTGCCCACTTTTTGGTGGGATTATTTGATTTTTTTTCTTGCTGCTTTGAGTTCCTTGTAGATGCTGGATATTAGTCCTTCATTGGGTTCGTAGTTTGTGAAGATTTTCTCCCACTCTGTAGGTTGTCTGTTTACTCCGCTGATTATTATTATTATTGGGTTTTTTTGCTGTGCAGAAGCTTTTTATTTTTGCTCATGCTGCCCTGTCTAGGAACCTTCCTACCCTCACTCTGCACTTTGTCTCCCTTTCAAAATAGGGCCTATATTCGCAGCAGTTTTTCAGCTTCTCGGGCAGAACCGACTGTTGTCCCTTTTGTGCCCTTACTGTACTTTATTCACTTCTCTTTTATTACTAGTGAATTAGACTTTTGTTTCTGTTTTTTATATATTTTTATTCTCACTCAAATATAAGGCAGAATCTGTCTTTTATATGTATTTTCAGCTTTTCCCAGGATATTGCCTATGATTTGATAGACACAGTGAATGTTTATTGTCTTAACTGGTTGACTGAGTGGGGGAGTGAGTGAATACATCCCTGAAGTTCTTTTTTTTCTTTTTTCTTTTTTTTTTTTTTGCTTTGTTTTTAATAGGATGGAGCAGCTAAGCCAGCAAATGGAAAAAGACAAAATGGTACTGATATTATTGAACGCACCCCATGAGAGCACACAAATAGTAAGAATTTAAATTTAATTTACTGAATATCTCTGATAATTTTTTAATGCTTAAATGCTATTTTAAAAAACTTACTTAAATATGTAGACTCAAATATAAAATCCATTTCTTCTAGATTTTTTTCATGCCTTTCTTCATAGTGCCAACTTCTTTTTCATAAATCTACTTCAACCCTCTGAATTTCTTTGTTGCTCTTTCATTTTATTGAAATATTTATGAATGGATATAGCATTGCATATGTATTTAAAATTCAGAGTGATAAATGTTCTCTCATGAATGTATCTGTGAATAACATCTTATAACATTTTACAGCTGCAGTGTCCTCATCAGGATCAGGACAAGAGGGCAATATAGAATCACTTTTGGATTATGAAGTATTAGCTGTTGTTTTTTTGTTGTTATATAAAAAAATAAAACCATTCTGTGATGTTAAATCATAAAAGAGGATGCTTTGACTTTACTTTCTCGCCTCATAGTAGAATTCTTCTAATTTGCGGGGTTCATTTAAAAAGCCAGGGTAATACAGTGAAAAAATAAAGGCTTAAAAGTCAGAAGGAATCAATTTGGGTTATGAAGTTAAGTTTGTGTAAAAGCTAAAGAATTATTCCAGGTCAATGCAGGGCCACATGTATGACTGTATGGTATATCTGGATGTGTGTGGTATATCTCATCTCTAATGAGATTCAGAGAAAAACCGTTTGGACTGTAGTTTTTCACAACTTCGAACTTGAATAGGTAATTCCTGGGACTTGAAAGCATTAGTGAATTTGGATTATCCAGTATAGATCTGCAAGGAATATTTCAGGAGAAAGAAAAGCATGGAGAATAGTAAATACTTCGTGCTATAATAATAACAATTTGGTTTAATGTTGTTTTAATAAGTAGAAATCTTTTTAAAAAATAGAACGCATTGGGTATCTTTGTGGCAAATGATGACGTTCTAAGGTGACACCCATGGAAAGACATGGGAAAGGCTCGACCTCTTAGACAGAAGCAGCTGCTACCCAGCACCAAGCTGAAGTCAAAACATGTTACTGTCTTTGTTCTTTTTCTTAGTATCAGTGGATTCTTGTAAAAAAAAATTATTTAACCTATTTGAACATCAGTTACTGCCTTTATAAAAACAATACTGGAATGTACCCTTTAGGTATGTGTAATGAGCAAATATGGTAAGAAATAGAAAAACATTTTGTTAACTGGTAAGTATGTATACAAATGTAAGATAAAATGGTCCCAGTGGCATTCAGTGACTTGATAAATATTGGAGATGTTTTGTGTAAACCTGAAGGACAGTAAATTGGCAGCAGTGTCAAGAAAGAATGGAAAGTTAGAATGCGCAAGTGGATTTCTAATTCGGGGTATTATAAGTTTCAGCAGACTATGGCTAGAGATATTATATAGCAATATAGTGATTTAGCACTTAAGATCTTCCCAAGAGATTTTAAAATCTTTTGAGATTGAATACCTTTCTGTTTCTGAGTACCAACTATGTGCTAGGCAGTTAGACACAGAATATACAGGGTGAGGGCTCATGCTATAGTACTAAGAGAAAAACAAGCAAACAGCTAACAATTGTAAGTTACTGTACATGCTTTCTATAAGGAAAACAGAATTTTAGGTTAGATGTTATTGAAACAGTTTATAGTTAGGATGGGAGTGGGAGTGAAATTCTGTAGTCAGAGAAGATCTTTGTGCATGTGAAATGTAATCTATCAATTAAAAATTGAGAAAGAGCCAGCTATGTGAAAGCCTAGGAAAAGGAAATCTGGACAGAGAGAAAAATGGATCATATCTGTTCATTATTTTATTCTTACATCATTGAATGACCAGGAAGTGGGGTAACCATCATTATAATCATTTTTATTATAATGTTTAGGAAAGAAAATATGCAAATAAGTGCCTAGTGGATTTTTGATGATTCATAAATAAATGTTCTTACTCTTCCTTTCTTTTTTTTTTTTTTGAGAGGAGTCTCGCTCTGTCACCCAGGCTGGAGTGCAGTGGCCGGATCTCAGCTCACTGCAAGCTCCGCCTCCCGGGTTCACGCCATTCTCCTGCCTCAGCCTCCCGGGTAGCTGGGACTACAGGCGCCTGCCACCTCGCCCGGCTAAGTTTTTGTATTTTTAGTAGAGACGGGGTTTCACTGTGTTAGCCAGGATGGTCTCGATCTCCTGACCTCGTGATCCGCCCGTCTCGGCCTCCCAAAGTGCTGGGATTACAGGCTTGAGCCACCGCGCCCGGCCTACTCTTCCTTTCTTAAAATTAAGGCTTACTCAGGAGATCGAGACCATCCTGGCTAACACGGTGAAACTCTGTCTCTACTAAAAATACAAAAAATTAGCCGGGCGCGGTGGCGGGCGCCTGTAGTCCCAGCTACTCAGGAGTCTGAGGCAGGAGAATGGCGTGAACCTGGGAGGTGGAGCTTGCTGTGAGCCTAGATTGCACCACTGCACTCCAGCACTGGGCAACAGAGCGAGACTCCGTCTCAAAAAAAAAAAAAAAAAAAAATTAAGGCTTACTATATTTTTGAGGTGATTTCTTATTTTGGAAAGTGTTGCTTAGTATTGCTAATATTTGCTTCCTTTTATTTAAACATAATCTAAGGAAATGTTTACTACTACTTTGTCATTTTATTCAAGCACTTTTTCTGTCAGTAAATATTTTTTACCAAAAAGTATTTAGATTTTTCCAACTCCTTGTGTGCCTAAATGAAGCAGCTTCGATAATGTTCTGTTTATACTCAACATGGCAAATGCTGAAGTTTCCTGTCATGCTAAGTATCTTATTTTAACACTAAAAATTCTATAGTTAGAAACATTTTAAATGTTTAATGCTGTAACTATTATAGTAAGTGTATTATATTTTTTAAATGTCTTATTTTTGGTGGGGAATGCAAAGTAGAGTGAGGTATTTTGAAGTCAGGTTTTTTTTTTTTTTTAGCTGAAATAAGCACATAAGCTAATATTTGACTGTGAATGTGTTTCCTTTGGCCTTCCATGCTTGGTTTACAGAGTCAGTAGCCATATAAAGATAAAAAATAAGCTTGATTTGTGAGCATATATGAGGTTCTCTATTGAAATGTTTGAGTTTTCAATATATGCTTCTCTTATTTTTTAGCCTTTTAAAATAGGAAATTCAATTGTTTCAAGAAAGTTATTAGAAAATTTTTGTGGAACTTGTATTATCTTTTAATTGAAACTCCTTGTTGATATTAATTTGAACAGAATATCTCTGAGAATCTTTCACAGAAGTATTTGGTGAATTATCTGGGGCTGCAGAACAGAAAGGAAAAATTACACTAAATGAACAGCTAAGAGGTAAAAACCGTATTTCACTTAAAAATCATTTACAGAATATTTGTTTTAAAACATCATCACTGGCCGGGCGCGGTGGCTCACGCCTGTAATCCCAGCACTTTGGGAGGCCGAGGCGGGCGGATCACAAGGTCAGGAGATCGAGACCACGGTGAAACCCCGTCTCTACTAAAAAAAAATACAAAAAATTAGCCGGGCGCGGTTGTGGGCGCCTGTAGTCCCAGCTACTCGGGAGGCTGAGGCAGGAGAATGGCGTGAACCCGGGAGGCGGAGCTTGCAGTGAGCCGAGATCGCGCCACTACACTCCAGCCTGGGCGACAGAGCGAGACTCCGTCTCAAAAAAAAAAAAAAAAAAAAAAAATCACTGATATATTCCAATAGCCGAAGAAAATCACCTATTAAATGCATAGTAAGAAAAAAGAGAGGCGAAATGTTAAGTTATATATCTTATTAGGTGTCAGCAACAAATTAAATTGAGAGTGCTAATAAAGGAGCTGAACTATTAGTTTCATTTCAAGAAGCTGTAAACACTAAGGAAAGTAAGGAAAGAAGAAAGAGAAAAGGAGTAAAAGAGAAAATGTTGAATGAGGAAGGCAGAGAGTACAGGGAGTAAGGGGAAAAGAATGAAGGGAAAAGAAGCAGATATATATTATAGAGGGTGGTAAAATGAAATAATTTTTCAGAGCAAGAAAGTGTGGGGTATTAAAAAGGCAGAAACAATACAAGGTGAGTTTTCGCTACCGAAACTTGTCAAGGAAGGGGCACAAAATTTTCATCTCTTGCTGTCTTCCTCACCATTTTGGCAGTATTAAGGATCCAGGTTCCCGATCATGCAGAGCTCTGCATCTACCATAGATGAACATAAGCATATATGGTCAGCCATACATGTCTATAATTTAATGTCATAAAATGTTACTTTTAGGCTGGGCGCAATGGCTCATGCCTGTAATCCCAGCACTTTGGGAGGCTGAAGCAGGCAGATCACCTGAGGTCAGGAGTTTGAGACCAGCCTGGCCAACATGGTGAAACACTGTCTCTTTTACTAAAAATACAAAAATTAGCTGGGCATGGTGGCAGGCACCTGTAATCCCAGATACTTGGAAGGCTGAGGCACGAGAATCATTTGAACCCAGGAGGCAGAGGTTGCAGTGAGCCAAGTTTGTGCCACTGTACTCCACCTTGGGTGACAGAGCAAGACAGTCTCAAAAAAAAAAAAAAGTTTTTTCATAGGATACCATCATATAAGCCAAAAGAAGAAAACTGGAAAGAAGAGCATAGTGTTAGTTATGGAGAATTCAAGGAAGTTATAGCCACGTAAAGAGTCCATTAGCAATTGTATGACTTGTAACGTCTCAACTTAAGGAACATATTAGGGAAGGACGAGTTGATGGGTGCAGCACACCAACATGGCGCAAGTATACATATGTAACAAACCTGCACGTTATGCACATGTACCCTAGAACTTAAAGTATAATAATAATAAATAAAATAAAAATAAATAAATAAATAAAAGGTTAAGATAGAAGGAAAGGAAAAAAAAAAAAATAGAATCCAAAAAGGTAAAAGGAATGTGGAAGCACATTCAGTGTAGACCAGAGCATCTCTCTCAAATTGTAATCAGTCAGCTGGGGACCTTGTTAAGAATGCACAATCTGTTTCAGCAGGTCTGGGATTCTCCATCTCTTAAGTTTTCAGGTGATGCCAATGCTGCTGGTCCTTGGACCACACACTGAGTAGCAAGGGTATAGCTTCCCTTTAGAGAAATTTGGGAGAAGGGGCATTGACTAGCAGTTCAAGACATAACAGGATCAATGGAAAGCATTATTTTGCATTTATTTCTGAATGTATTTGTATTCAGAGGGGAAGAATCAAAGAGATAAAGAAATAGAAACCATAGATGTAAGATCCTACCACTAAATTAAGAGGAAACTTGTCATGGGAATAGTCCATAAAAAGAATATAGAAGGGAAGAAATCATAACCACAGATCTAGGGATTACTTTTGAAAAGGAAGAGGAATTGTGAGGGTGGTAGAAAGGAGGAAAGAAATAAGGTAGCCTGGTAATTTTGAAGTAAATGAAGAGGGAACTTGAGAAAACTCACTTCCAATGGCTTCAGTGTATTCACACTTAAACAGATAATGAGATTTTTGCTACTGCATACATTACTGAAGGCAAGAGGGAGTGCTCAGATTGTAGTAAAACATAGTGACTCATCTCTTCCTCCATAACTTATCAGGAATGAACAATATATATTGCATTGATGTTACTTAATCAAATGAGATTAACCTAAATACAGAAACATTGGCCGTTAGGTGATTTTTTGATAAGATAGCTGTTTCATAAACATTCTTTAAATACTAACATGATATACCAAACAAAGCTAATTTTAGAAACACAAATTATAGAGTTAATCCTTTGAACATTAAAATTATTATTTTCAAGGAATATTGCACTGAATTTGAAATTCAAAAGGTTATTAATATCTAATAATTTTGTAACAATTTTTTTCTTTCTGGAGAAATATATCTCTGTTGTTTTTTTATATACCTTCTTACATTAGTTAATCAAGAAATTTAAAAATGGCTCAACTGGAGGATACAAGAAACATAGGCATACCAGTAGCACATATGGGTATGGAAATAAATGAACTTTTAAAATTAACTGTTATTCTATATGTATATCCAGGCTGACCAATTCAGAACACTTTCTTTGATGATGAATTATACATTCAACTGAACTGTCATTACAACTGTGTCCTTTCTAAATCACAGGGGAAATTAAAGAATACAATAAATACTTGTAGTATAATGATATAAATTATTCTAATGTGTTGCATGAAAGGCATGCTGTTCCATTCCATTATCAACTTTGACATTTAATCTTCTCAGGATCATTATTTGCTCCTCTGGTTAAAGATAATTTTTCTTCTTATTAATTATCAGATTCCTGTTGACATATGTACACTTTTCTATTTTAGTTGCAGTCGTTGGAAACCTAATCTCCCTTTTGATATGTTATCTGCATGTTTTATGAAACCTAAATTTATATTTTTTCTCAGTATATTTCTGTCATGTTGCTGCCATAACAAAAAGCGCATCTCCAGACCAAAAGTCATCAAAGTTAACTCTGAGGATTTAGCCCAATACTAATTCTGCATGAGTATATGGCTAGTTTTTTCATATTTGCATATAATTTATTATATGTCTCATTTGCTTTTTAGAGTCTCCTGAGAAATATCTTCATTTGAAGGTAATAAATTCTATATTTTCATCTTGAATTATTAACTAAATATTGTATGACATACACATCATACATTAATTATTTTGTTTCAAAGCCCATTCAGCCTACCATTGAAATGAAACATTCTGCTTCTAATAAAGCAGTAGAAATGAAGGATGTAGGGACCTCCACATCAGGAAAATTTTTCAATATAAATTTAACTCTGGAAAGAAATGTGCGTGTGTGTGTGTGTGTGTGTGTGTGTTTTATTACAGAGCGTTTGAAAGATATACAAAATAGTGGAGTAGAACTGACACCCAGCCTTAACAACTATCATCATGTGCCATTTTTGTTTTATCTATACTTCAACCCATTGCCCCCCCCCCAACTTTATTATTCCTTTTACTAATTTTTTGGTGAGGTAAGATGTGTATGCATTGAGACATACAATCTTAACTGTATCTTTTTGACAAATCAGTATACCCGTGTAATCTTTTCCCCTTTTAAGACTAGAATTCCTTCACTTAATCATTAATGTGCATGTGAATCAGCTGGAAATATTTAAAATCCAGATTTTGATAAAATAGATTTAGGTTTTGCCTCAGAATTTGTAGCAGCTAAACGTTCTCTTTTATCTAAAGTAAATAAAATTTGATGAATACAATTAAGGAAAGTTGACCTCAGGTCAAAGGACAAATCAAAACAGGTGCACAATATCATGTCTGTGGGAGCCTTTAGTTAACAATGATACAAACCAGCTAACAGTTTTATGATGATTTTAATCCCAAGTTAGCAAAAGGGCAGGGTGCAGGAGCTAGGAGTCAGGGCAGGGGTGCTGCTGTGCTGAGGACAGTGGGGAGGGTCGGGGGCTCCGTTTTGGGGGCAGAAGTGCTGCTGTGTTTCCTTGTCCAGGACAGAGTCCTCCTCCCATGCCCTAGCACAGCCTGGGAGAAAAGGCCGGGAACAAAGACGGAGTGGAGCGCAGCCCAGGCCCTCACATCCTCCATCTTGTGGAAGTGGCTGCGTTTCCACTGCGGCAGCCCCCTTGTGCAGGTGCAAGGAGGCCACTTCTGGTGCTGGTGCTGTGTCCCTGACCCCGGGTGTGCCCTCTCTGTGGCCCCCACTTCCTTTCCTCTCTGCATTGGTTTCCCTGTGAGTGACATCAGAGAATCTTTAACAGTAGCTGTGGGCAGCCCAGGGGGACTCCTCCGGGAGCCTCAGCTCCTGCCGGGCTGCGCTAGGGCTGGGGACGCAGTGGGAAGACTGACGCAGGGACCTCAGGAGCTGTCACATGGCAGGGAGAAGCCTCAGTCAAGACCTTGTGTCATGATTTCTTCCACACACGTGTGGCAAGGTGCGAGGGTCTAAGCGATGGCTGCCAAACAGGGAGTGCGCCCCAGCAGTGGCTGCAGCGGACCACAGCAGTGGGGCCCTCTCTCCCTGCCTGTCTTCCCCTGGGCCTGCCAGGGCCATCTTCTGTGCTCGATGGGATGGGGGTCTTCGGCCCCCAGGAGCCTGCGGGTCAGTGTGACTAGTGGAAGTTGAGATCGGGGTTCCCTGGGGGCCGTGATGCAGGAACTGCACCCTTTGGTGCTGGGAGGCGTGAGAAGGTTCCAGGCCTTTCAGAGCCCATTTGGCTCCCCCTTCAGAAAGGCAGCCAGGCTTGGGGTTGAGGGAGGTGATGCTGTGCCCCCTGAGGGAGACTTCACTTCTCCCAGGGGACCTTAGAGGATGGGCCCTGCTCTGACCCAAGCTCGATGACACTTGGCAGCCCCTGGGTTCGTGCCTTCTCTCCCAGCCTTGGTCTCCCCTCCCAGAGCTCTAGGGTCAGGCCCAGGCCTGTGGATGTCTCTGAGCAGATGATCCCTGGGCCTCCACGGACCTCTGATCTCCTAGCTGTGTGATCCTGGGGGCCTCAGGGACCTTGCTCCCCTCTGAAAAAAATGGCAGCATCTGTATTAATGCAGTTTTTGTACCTCATCAGTGCACCATTTGATTTAGTAATTCTTAAAGCTTGTGATCAATCTGCAGTGATGGAAATTTGCACTGAACCATTTCGTATCTTAATGAGTATCTGCTTTGTTTTTTGTTGGTGGTGGTGTTTGAGATGGAGTTTTGCTCTTGTTGCAATGGTGCGATCTTGGCTCACTGCAACCTCTACATCCCAGTTTTAAGTGATGTCTCCTGCCTCAGCCTCCCAAGTTGCTGGGATTACAGGTGCCCGCCACCACACCTGGCTAATATTTTGTATTTTTAGTAGAGACGGTTTTGCCATGTTGGCCAGGCTCGTCTGGAACTCCTGACCTCAGGTGATCCACCTGCCTTGCCCTCCCAAAGTCCTGGGATTACAGATGTGAGCCCCTGCGCCTGGCCTCTACTTTGTTTCAAACATGATAACGCTCTCGTTTTTATTCTCTTAATTTTCAGTTGTTCCATGTTTTGTGGGGCTTGTCAGTTGACTTCCAAGTGCTAATTCTCATGACCAGATAATAAGAATGGGTGTAACTGGGTGTTGATTGATGAGCCAGAAGACATTTAATCCTGGAGTCTGAGGTTATCAGACCTCTCCATTTAGAAAATCATTCTTTATATATTTTCAAACAGCACATTGGTGAACATGTAATGCTGCTTTTTTCTTCATCTCTGGGTGAATTGCCAGTCTTTCATGAATACATTCAGAGAAATCTCTCAGTGAACTCAAAGAGTTTCAGAAATTAGTAAGTATGCAAGCTTGGTTGCATACAGAGAAAAACAGTAGATAATATAGATAGCCGATAAGAGAAGATTTTAAACAATGACTGAGTTATATTCTTAGAGGTCGCTTAAAAATTGGATTTATACTAAGGCATTTTAAACTTTAGTCTGGAACAAATTTAAAATTCCTGAATATACAAATTTCTGATGACTCAGGAATAGTAAAAATGGATGGGAATGGTATTTCAAATCAAGGATGGAACCTCTTTTTTTATTCTGAACGTGTTAGTTTTGACGCTCTTCACCCTGAAATTTTCACTCTCAAATGTATTTGGAAGGCAGATCTGTTTTTTTTTTTTTTTTCCTCATGTAACATTGCTTTCATACACAGAATAATACTGTGGATCTGGGATTCAGATTTTGAAATGAAGCATGGACTCTGAGTGGACCCCTTGTCCTTGTGAAAGTGCTCTGGTCTAGACATCGGCAGTTGGACCCCCGAGTATAGCACGTGTTCCTGTGTTCATTGGAGCATTGTGTGATGACCTATCACTGAGGTCATGTGATGATGTATATTCTGACTTCTCTCCCAACTGCCACTGTGTTTGCACTGGCAGCTGGGAGACTCCTGGTAAAGATGGGAGGCAGCCTTTGCTGCTGCACTGAAGGCGTGTTTATTTCCATCTTTCATTGCAGTTTCTTTGGATGAGACGGGTACTTAAAATGTCATCCTGATTTTTTTTTTATCTCCCAAACTCCAGTTTTTCTACAGATTTATAAATTTGTTTTAGTTTTATGACTCAAATTGCATTTTTGATTATGCTATCAAGCTTTTTGCCTTAAACGTTTTTCTCTGTTTAGAAAGATGTACTGTTTCCCAGGTCAATTTTGTACATACCCTTTCATAGAATAGATCCAGAAAAAACACAACACCACTGCCTTCATCGTATCAGGAGATCTTGATACTAAATACGGAATGAGACAGTCCATGAAAGTCAGATTACAGGCCAAAGTCTCCTGAATAGAGATGTGGAAGTCTGAAATCAAATACTGGAACAGTTTAAATCTAGAGATTTTTAGAAAATAAACTGAAATTTTCTAATGGGAAACATAGCCTAGTTAAGAGGTTTTGAGGGATTGTTTTGAATTAAAGACATTTTTAAAAGGTAAATACAATCGAGTAGATATAAAAAGTTACAAACTTTTAAAAAAATTAGAGGTTATAAAAGGTTTATGAAAATCTTACTTTGCAATCAAGATGGGTTAGATAGATTTGTTTATAAGGCCTTATTAAAATTAACTATAATATAAAAACACACTAATAGCAAATTAAAATTTTGGTTTAAAAAAATTAGCTCTTCTTAAGATATTAATTTGCTCTCAATGAAATTACAAGAGTAATAATTTTTCATTCTGAAATCTATTGTTTTAAAACTTCTCAGATTTATACCTCAGAAGTTCAACTTTTACTGTGTCGGTTTACACGTAATATACAGGGCCCACATCATTGCCTTGTTTCTTTTCCCCTGGAAAAGGTGCATCTTTATACTTGGCTTGGATGATAATGCTCCTTCAAATTTTCATCAGCTCCCTTATCTTCTCCCCCTTGGTTCTAATTCTGCTGCTGTAATACTAAAATGGTTATTTTTAAAGGTCTAAAATATTGTTTGTCTCAGATGTAACATGATTTTCTACTCTTGGCTTTTTGATACATCTCAATTGTTTCAGGTGACCAGGAAACCGCCCACGCTGTTACTTAGAGCCAGCTATCCCCCTGCTTCAGTTACTAGCTCTTCTGTTTACGTTACTCTATAATACAATATTCACTCGTGTCTGAACTCACACTGTGTCTCATTAAATTCCAGTAACCTTCTCATCAAGTGTGACTTCCAGGTTACTCAGTAGACTTCATTTAGACACTGCCCACTCTCAGGCAGGCCTTAGTTGAGCCTGCTCAGATAGTTGCTCAGATGAGTAGTCAGTGAGACAGTGAGGGTCACAGGTTTAATTCACTGAGTCACTTAAGCCCCAGCCCTGATGGCCCCATTTTCAGTTAACTGCTCATGCAGGGTTGGTCAGTTGAAGGGAAGTCGATTCTTGGCACAGCCATCAGGTGGCAGTTGGCTTTGAATGTTCTGAGATCTGAGCCATCTCGGGGGCCTTTGGGGTAGTCATTGGTCATGGGCTGCTCACCGCCAGGCAGTGTGAAGCTGCTGGGGAGGATGTCCAGACATTTGAATTTGTTCATCAGAGAGGCTTTGTTTGCAGGAAAGTGCCATATTTTAGGTCAAGAATTAAAATCTAGAGACATAAGTTTTGTTTTACTGATTTGACCTCTTCTCTGGATTTAGCTACCTCCAGGCATCCACCTTCCTGAAGATCCCTTGGAGCAGGAGGATTGAGAAAGGGAGTGAAAAGAGCTCCTGGTTCAGGGTCCAGGCCATGATTTAGGTCTCGGGTGTTCAGGGACCTCTGCCCCAGAAAGCCATCTACATTCTTGTCTCAGATCCATCATTCCTGAGTGCTGTGACTCTGGTCAGGTCACTTCAAATCTCTCGTTTCACTTCCCTGAGCTGTCAACTATCAGTGGCAGCCCCTGCCCTGCCCATCCCACCAGGATGATGTGGGCATCACAGGAAATAACAAAAACTGTCCATGAGCTCTAAAGCATCAGGCCCATGTGAAGGAGAAAGAAAATTTCATCCTCCCCAAGCACTTTCTCTATGTTACCCACTACCAAGGGCCTGGCTTAATCTTTCAGACATAAAATGATTGAACACTTTATGGCACTCAGGAAGCACCCAGTTCTTTTAGGCTTTACCTCTGTTTAATTACTTTTACTCTTGTAACATAACACGGCCCATTATAAACATTTCCACACTCAGAAGAGGAAACTGAGAAACAGAAGGGTCTATAGAACTTCTCAGTTTCATGTAGCTTCCAATAAGGACTTGAGCCCAGACCTTTGTGCACCAGGCCCTGTGGTCTTGGTCACTCCCATCTGCTACGTTTCTACATTGTCTCATCTCAGTACAGGGATTTGCCTACACAGTCGGTCTGCACAGTTTTAAGTGCAACTCACAGTGCAAGTTCTTAAAATCGAACTCTTCCTGAGATCGTGTTGCCACATTTTCAAACAAATGGACATGATGTGAAACTTATAAATGAACGTAAAAATTGAAGGGGAACAGAAAGTTTCCATATACCCTCCCCGCTCAGTATCTTTTCTTTTGATCACATCTTACACGAATGTGGTGCATTTGTTGCAGTGGCTGATCCAGTAGTGATATCTTATTAATGAAGTCTAGAGTTTGCATTAAGGCTCACCCTGTGGTGTTCAGCCAAAATTATTATGATTTTGACAAACTCATAATGTCATTAATCACCCAGACAGAAGAGTTTCACATCCAAAACATGACTGGTGCTCCACCTCTTAATCCCTTTCTTTTCTCAGGACCCCCGACTGTTATAGATCATTTATTTTACTGTCTCTATAGATTTTCTTTCCCAGAATTCTATAGAATTGGAATCATATAGTATGCAGCCACTTAGGACTGATTTCTCTTAGCAATATACGTGCAAGATTTTTTATACCTTTTTGTAGTTTAATGGTCTACTAATTTTTATCAGTGAATCATATTCTGTAGAATCCACGTAACAGTATGGGTTTGTGCACTCACTGCCTACAGAGCATCTCAGCTGCTTCCAGTTCCAGCAGTTATGAATACAGTTGCCCTCATTCTTGTGCAGATTTTGCAATGGGCATAATTTTAAAATGCAACTGGGTAAATGTTTAGAATTTTAATCAGTTGTTTATGTAATAAGACTATGTCTTCCTTTGTAAGAATTAGGTAGAATTCAGTAAAATCACCTGGGCATTTTTAAAAAGTTCTTATTGATTCAGTTTCATATAATGGACATAAGCCTAGTCAGATTATCTGAGTCTCCATTGGGTAGTTATGATAGTTTCTGCCTTTGAAGGAATTTGTCGTTTTCATCTAAGCTGTCAAATTTGTGAGCATAGATTTATTTTAAGTATTCCTTTATTATCCTCTTAATTGTTTGGGATTAGCAGGAATGATTCCTCTTTTATTTATTTTATTTGTAAATTGTATCTTCTATCTTTTCTTTGCAGTTAGATGGCTGGAGGTTTATCAATTCTATTTATCTTTCCTATGAAGCAGCTTTTGGTTTTGTTTAGTTCTGTTTCTTATTTCTATTATAATGATTTCTGCAAATATTGGTGGTTTTTTTAATTTTATTTTTGTGTCTGGTTTACATTACACTATACTTTTTTCTCTAGTTTCCTAAAATGGAAGGTAAGAAAACCGAAATAAGATTGTTTTTAGTTTCCTTTCTTTCTTTTTTTTTTTTTCATTGAGACAGAATCTCACTCTGTCACCTAGCCTGCAGTGTAGTAGCGTGATCTCAGCTCACTGCAACCTCCGCCTCCTGGGTTCAAGCAGTTCTCCTGCCTCAACCTCCCAAGAAGCTGGGATTACAGGCGCCTGCCACCAGGGATTACAGGCACCTGCCGCCACGCCTGGATAATTTTTGTATTTTTAGTAGAGATGGGATTTCACCATGTTGGTCAGGCTGGTCTCAAACTCTTGACCTCAGATGATCCACCCGCCCCCAGAGTGCTTGGATTACAGGCGTGAACCACTGTGCCCGGCCTGTTTTTACTTTTCTACATAGCATTGTGAATGAAACTAATGCCACTGAAGTTTGCATTTAATAATCAATATTACATATATTGTGTATTTTTTTTACCACAATAATGATTTAAAATCCAGTAATATAGATGATACGTGCAGAAGGAGCATATGTAGATTCAAGAAAGTTAAACATTGTAACTTTTTTTAAAAGGAGAATATTTACCAGGCGTCTTTTTGTGAGGAGACCCTGTCCTGGAGTGATGTGTGCATTTGTATGCTGCCTATGTGAACACTGCCTCCTTCACAGTGATGAGGGTGGCTTAGCCTGAGACCCAAGCCCCTGTTTCCCATGGCTATCCTGATGGTCTCCTTTGCTTTCCTTCACCACCAAGGAGGGTAGCCCAGCAGCAGTTCAGCCCATATTCTTACCCCACCTCCTTCGCACATGTCAGCCCTGTGTCCTCCACACAAGGCTGCCAGAGGTCTGTCAGCAGTTCCCATGGCTGACAGTGACTTTGTGTTTCCTAGATTTCCAGGACAACCTGGTGGGGGAGTGGACCAGCAAGACTTCCTTAGAACAGGTTCCGACTGATCACTCGGTAAAGTCTTCTTTCTTTGTCTTGAGATGGGAATTTTATTTCTTTTGGCTTCTTTCTCTTTGATTTGAATTAAGATACGCACATCTTACCACGGACATTATAGATGAGTTACAGAATATCTTGGTGGGCAAATGTATGTGAGAGTCCATTACCAACTTGGAGCTTGTTCCAGATGGCTCTCATAGATGACAGCTTCAGTGACAATCTGCATGGCAGAGAGCACTTTCCTCAGGAGAAACTCATTCTTCTTGAAAATAGTGGTGACTTTGCACCCAAAATCATTTGGAAAATCTTAGCGAAACAGGTTTTCTTGTGCCTTTCCACAAGTGCCTTCTAGGCTTTCTTGGGAGCCATTGCCACAAGCAACACGTTCCAACCGGTTTTCTAAGGTCACCAAGTAAACAAAAGGCCCATGCGCGCAGGACACAGCATGGTCTGATGCTCACAGTGTTTCCTTTCTCTCTGCAGATGGACTCAGCAATTCAGGCAGGAGGTGCGTACTCTGAGATCATCCCTTTGCTAAGGAAAAATCTTAGTGTTGAGAAAGCTGATACTTTCCTCCCTGCTTTTGCTTGACAGCCCTCCTAGTTTGAGCTTCCTGCTGGAAATGAGGTTTGGGAAGTTTGGTGAAAAAAAAAAAAAATGAAGAATTTAATCAACAACTGTGGCCATCCACTCTAGTTCCCAGAGGCAGTGATGTCATTTAAATAGGCATAGGGGTGCATCAGGGTGGGGAGGTATGGAAGAGAGAGTCCATGTGGAGTGACTGTGACTGTCTTTGGGAGTCTGCATCCTTTTCTCTAGAAAGCATGTTCCCCTATGCAAAGCATGACCCAAAGATTGGTGTTCTAGAAACAAAATTCCATCCCCATTGCACACTTGACATCAGTCAACCCTTTCATCCTTCACCATAGCTGTACCTGAAGGTTAGTTGAATATCCCTAGTTCTCAGATTGGAGACAGTGGAGAGATGAATTTCCCAAGCTCTCAGTTTCCTGAATGGAAAAGGCAAGTATGAACTCAGGAATGGGTAAAAGGTTGGCATGATGAACTACTACTCTGCATTCATCAGACAGCCCTGGTGAAACTTGTCACCATACCAGAGAGTTCCAGCAACTGTGTGTGCATGTGGAATATGACAGCCTAGAGAGATCCCAGACACTGCCCATTGTTATAAGTTGTTGTCAGTGATGGTGTAAGGCAGGGTAGCAATACAGTGGACCTTGGGGTGGTCATTAATGTGAAACACTCATAGGGGAGTCACAGGCTTTTGGCTGCAATGGTGGGGTCATTTCTCAGCTCCTGTTCAAAAGCAGATAATAATCAGGGACATGTCTTACTGTATTTAAAGATATGATTGGACCCAGTGCAGAGGCTCATGCCTGTAATCCCAGCACTTTGGGAGGTTGAGGCAGGAAGATCACTTGCGCCCAGGAGTTTAAGACCAGCCTAAGCAGCATGGTAAAACCACGTCTCTGCAAAAAATACAAAAATTAGCCATGCGTGGTGACGTGATCCTGTAGTCCCAGTTCCTCAGGAGGCTGAGGTGGGAGGATTGCTTTGGCCTGGCAGTTTGAGGCTGCAGTGAGCCATGATTTTGCCACTGCACTCCATCTGAGTAACAGAGTGAGACCCTGTCACAAAAAACCAAACCAAAACAAAAATCATGACTACGAGCCTTAGAACTCCAGCTTAGTAACACACACACCCAAGAGACAGCACCCAATATGTGATCTCAAAAACAAGTTGGCTGTTAGCCTGGTGCCCATCTTCCCTGCTCATATCTCTAACAGCTGAGTTAGAGAGGGTCAGCGCCCCCACACGCTCCCCCATGACAGGATGTGTTGAAGCCAGTGTGAATGGCAGCAGCACTGGGCTCCACAGACACGGCAGCACCCGTCACACACTGTGTGGCAGTGAGCTTTTCCCTTAGCAGCTTGATTTAATTCTTGGAAGCAAATTACTTACTTGCCAAGCAACATGGACTTAGAGGAAGCATCCTACAAAACGAACTTGTGTCTTCAGCATGAGCTGGTTTGTCCTGTTGTTCTTTTGGGTTCCTTTGACCTGAGCACTGTTTGCCATCTGGTTTTCCAATGTCACCAAGTTAGGAAAAGACCTGCACACAGAGGACGTGGCATGGTCTGGTGCTCACAGCAATAGGTTTTCTGTTATCACAGGCAGCCCCGGGAGTGCAGGATAATGGTTGTATGGGGCAATCCCTCCTGTGTGGATGAATCATCCCGATGATGAGGAATATGGCACCATCTCACTGGCTTTCCTGTACACAGGCAGCTGGAGTTGAGCTCCCTGTTGTGAATGAGGACCTAGGTTGTGATGGGACAAATGGTTGTTCCAGATAAGAATCAATGGGCACATTCTGCAGTCCCTGAGAGCAGCTGCATTCTTTGTATGTGGGGTGGGGTTGTGTGCACTGGACTGGTGTGTGTGTGTGTGTGTGTATGCATGCATGTAGTGTGGTGCTGACTGTGCCTGGGGGTGTGTGTGTGTCTCCCCCTTATTACTGTCCACATTATGAATTAAAAATGCCATCACTCTTGCAGCCTGATGAGAGGCATAGGTAATTATTAGTGAAAATGTAAGCTTATGATGTGTGTAGTTTATTGCATGCAGAGGACACTGCGGTTAATCCAAAGGAAATCCTGTCAACACCCAGGCACATGTTAATTGGGTAGTAATAGAACAAAACTCTCTCAGGATCCCTACTGATTGATTTTTTTTCATTGGGAATCCCCTTCTAAACCTCATTGTTCAATAAACCTCACCTGGTAACAGACCGTCCTATTTCCTCCTGGCATTGAAGTGGTCATGACACCTCACTGTTGCCACTTCCATTCTTCACAAGCCTTTTCTACAGCAGAGGTTCCATGATGTCCTCGTTGAACCCACTGTTGATAAAGGTTCTTGTTCGACTCTGAAAGCCTGTGCAAAAACTATGTCAAAGTGGTTGGTTTCAATCCGTATGTATATAAAACGAGGCAAATTGTGGTTTGAGTTTCTTGTGGATTATGCACTTGGTGGAAGCGTATTGTATGTAATTTGAATTGGATTGCTCTGTAGGTGATGATATTTTTCCCTCTTCTCAATATGGTGAGGCTGCATGATTTTAAAATGTCCCTTGTTTGCCCCAGAACCTGTCTCCTCATAACTGAATTCCCCTAGTTGTCTTTAATTTCTAGGTCACAGTTTGTCTGTGGTTCTGAGGGGGTCCTCTGCTGTGTGCGATTAAAGGTACAAATCAGTGTTACCAACATTGAGGTTCTAAGAATTTATGGCCGGCTGCCCAGTGGGCTCTGAGGAGGGGGGTGGTGTAGGGAGAGGGAGAGGGGATTCTAAGAATTTATGGCCGGCTGCCCAGTGGTCTCAGAGAGAGAGAGAGAGAGAGAACAGAGAGAGGCACAGCCTTGGCCTGGGCCTGAAAAGGAGCATGATTTCAAGGGGCAGAAGGCAGGCATGAGGGCACCCAAGTCATGGGGGGAAGCCAAGTTTGCAAGGGCTGGAGAGTCACTTCAATGTCATGTCCTGGGTCCAGCCAGATTGTTCAGGCCCCATCTGAGGGAAAGGGAACAGAGCTTGGACTTTGTGGCTGGTCTGAGCACTGCCTGGCAGTCTTCCTGGGCACTGAGGGAGAGGAACTTGTTTTTCCTCCATGTCTTCTTCTTTCTGTCGTTGATGGCAATGACACCATTTAAGTCTCTTGTATAATCCACAAGACATCAGGTTGAGAGTTTCTCTGAGATCATCTTGAAATCATCATTCCTAAAGTCTGTGTTTTCTCACTCCTGGCTGGAAGAATCTTGGCCATGGCTGGTCACCATGAGCACAGGGGCTGTGTCCTCCTCATTCCTTCTCATCTCAGGCACATCAGCCCTGGGCAGCTTATCTGAGCCGCAGTGACGTTATAATGCGTACAGCCCCGTGCTGAGATCTAGCAAAGCGTGAAAAGTTTCCCTGCTCACCTGTGCAGTCTGTTGAGCCCGCCGCTGATCCAGAGGCCTGCGTGGGTTCTCATCTAGGATGGGCTCCTGAAGACGGTGAGGTTTCCCCTTGCTGCTGCTGCTCTGCTCCTGTCTGGATAGTGTTGCAGGGGATGCTCTTTCTGTCACAAGGCAGCCCCTGCTGGGGAGCCCTCTGGACCGGGCTGCTGTCCTCCGTGTGTTAGCATCCCCAGGCCTCACAGGGGCCTGCTGCTTGTGCATGTGCCCGGGAAGTACCCATCCGTGGATGACCAGATCAGAGCAGCAAGCTACTCTGCCAGGAAGCACCAGGGCAGGGGAGTGAAGTCTTTCTCATCTTCGTCTTTAAACCTGTGTATTTCAGTGTGGGTCTCAGGAGCATTTATGCCTATTTACATTTAAACTAATTTTGATAAATAATATTAAAAATTCAAAACTTCCTCTGGAGAGCCATGCTTCGAGTTACCCAGTAGCCCAATGCTTAAACTGCAGCGAGCATTGCCGTCCTCCCAGAACGGGCCAGCTGCCATGAGCCTGGCCTGGGTTCCGCTCACTGCACTCACCTAACGCAACACGTGTGCATCTGTGTTGGAAACTCGGGGTTCTCCGTTCACTGCAGTCACCTAACTCAACACGTGTGCATCTGTGTTGGAAACTCGGGGTTCTCCGCTCATTGCACTCACCTAACGCAACACGTGTGCATCTATATTGGAAACTCGGGGTTCTCCGTTCACTGCACTCACCTAACGCAACACGTGTGCATCTATGTTGGAAACTCGGGGTTCTCCGCTCACTGCACTCACCTAACTCAACACGTGTGCATCTATGTTGGAAACTCGGGGTTCTCAGAGTGGAGCTGAGAGCCATAATGGGCCAGTGAAGGTGAATGGGTGAAAGTGGATTTTTTCAGGTTTCTTTCAGGCCCAGGGAAAGTCTGAGATCACAGAGAATAGAGCAGGGCATCTGCTGTCATCCAGTGTGGTGTGCATGGAGCAGGAGTGCTGGATGTCACTCTGAAGTCACCTTTCTCTGATGTTTGTGTGTCTGTAGCTCTGAGGACAGCTTTTCTGAAACCAATTATAACAACTCTTCAAATAGCAGAGACACTCCAGGTGGGGCCCGTGGCACAGGGTTTTTGGGGGCAGTTGGGTTACACCTGTGGCTTTGGAGCCTCAGCTGGGAGCTATGAAGTTAGTAAATATAAAAGGAAATAGGTGTAGAGGTGTGGTTTGTTCTTTGTGCATCTTAATGAGAAAGCAGTAGGAGTTTTGTTTCCATGGGCATCACGTGTCCTCTGCTGGTCCCCACGATTCTCTCCCTGGTGTGCACAGATGACGTTTTCCAGAAGGCCAGATCTCTCCTGCCTGTGCCACAGCAAGCACCAAAGTCCTGGGTTTTGGAGGGTGGGAGCGGGTAGCATCCTTTGTGAATGGAGAATAAGAGGTGAGTATGCGGGTATGGCATTGAGTGCTGTGCGGGGAGTGGAGTGGGACACAGCCCCTCACAGACGCTATGTGACCCTGGAGACAAAGTTCTTAATGCATGTGCTGGGAGGTGGGAGGGGTCCACCCTCTCCCTCTGCACTCTCGGGACCTATAGCAGCGCCTTCCTGTCCAGCCCTCACCATCTGCTCCTGGTCACAGGGCACTCCCTTCGTCTCCTGAGGTAGAGAATCCTCCTCTGGTATTACTAAGTGTCCCCCGTCCTAGAGACCCGAGGGGGGATCCCATGCTCAAGCACGGTTCTGGCCTCACTTCTCGCCCAATCCCAAATCCTTGGGCTAGGAATGGATCCTCAGTTGGCTTTCATTTGAGAATTCAGTGTCCAGCTGTCACCAAGGCCCTCCGTGGCCAGCAGGAATCCGGGTGTGTGTGTGGAGGCTTCTGTGTCGCTGCAGGCAGTGGCTCTTACCCTCCTTACAACCTGGTTCTTGGAGCGGCTGGGCCCAGGCTGGAGCCGCTGGGCAGCTGGCACAGGGGTCCCTTGTCATCACACTCTCTTCTCTGGTCTGACAGGTTTGTCCTGCTGAACACACTGCAGTCAGGCCCAGCTTGTTCCCTGTTTCAGGCCTGCCAGGTGCCCTCCTGCCCAGTCCTTCCACAGCTCAGGCAAGCCCCAGCAGGGCCCCTTCATTCCTGTGCTGACAACTGTGGCCTCACCTGCGGATTAAGGCAGTGGGACAAGGGGCTTTTCCTAGAGTCCCATTACAGCGCTTCTAAGCTTTCAGAAGCTTGTGGGATTCTTGTGAGGGTTGAGTATTTTCCAAGTCCCTAAGGTCATCCTAGGCATACAACAGTCACTTAGCCTGTGACATCGGTTGTCATCGCCTCCCACAGACCCCAACTCAGCCCCAGGCCTGTGGCAGGTGCTGCCAACCTACGGTGCAATCCGTGGACTTACAGAGGGCCTGGCAGTGCAGCCCCGCCCTTCCCTCCTATGTTCTTATGTCAGAGAGCAGTGGAATTG